ATGGAGAAAACGCCGGACTCTGATTCACTGCTGGCCTGTCGTGGGTAAGAAGCATAATTCTCAAATGTTTAGGAATAAATAAACAGCCTAAATATTATGGGGTTAGCAGGAAATTGTCCTTCGGAGCTTCGTGCAGCGAGATTACCCTGACGCGTCTGCGCTCCCTGAGGTGGCCTCTGGAAGGGCTGGGCGCGCTGCTGGCTAACGGAGGCCGGGCATAGGAATGTAAACTGTTACTGTTGCCAAAGATGTGAACTGGAGATGATCTGGAATTGATATTGAGATAAATGTAAATGCTTTTCATGCTTAATATACATTTTTTTTGTTGTGGTTGTTGTTGTTTTTTTAAACAATACCAAAACTCCACAGACAGTGTAAATGACACAATAGCTTTAAGGTGAAACATCAATTTGAAAAAAAAAAGAGCTGGTGATCTTGACAGAAGCGCTCAGACACAAAAACAGCTCAAAAGTACTCTGCAAACCTGCCGAGCCTGCTTTCTAAAAACTCCCCTGTGGGTGTACTGGAGTAATATTATTGGTCTATCACCAGGCTTGAGTCACCTAAATGGATCTGATTTTTAAGTTAGAGCAAATTGATCTGAACCTCTTGTGTGGCACGTCCTTCAGCAGAGGACTCTGGGGACTGGTGGCGATGTTGGCTAACTCGGCGAGCCAGTTGGTGTTCGGGGAGCAGCCGAGCTCCTGGTGGGACACGGCTCCGACCTGAAATAAGCCCGGAGACCTCTGATCCTCCTCCACCTCCTGCAGTTCAGGCATGTCGTCTAAAGAAAAGATCACAACGAGATTCAGCCCAAATATGGCAGGAAGGTAGGGCAGATAATAAATGTAATCTTGCTGTTTCAGCATTTCACCGTATTCCATGTGGCAACCAGGTGAGGAAGGCAGGTCCTCGTTACACTTGAGTGGATCAAACGACTCGTCCATTCTCTGTGTGAGCACTTTCCTCTTGTTTTCCAGCAAAGATCGTGAAGCAACTTACTTAGCTTCCATGTTCAGCAACATCAGCTGGTTATGGTAAAAAAAACAAAAACAGAGAAATAATAAATTAAAGTCGATAAATCAGATGGATTTCTGCTGGTAAATGTTTTTATTTTTTGTTTGTTTGCTTGCTTTTTTTGCCAGGAAGTAATCAACTGAATCTATATAATTCATAATAATATGGATTGTACTGGACCTGAATCCTAATAAATGACAGGAATGTTTTGGACTAAACTGGATTAGGGTCCCTGGAATCAGACGATTTTCATATTAACGGTTACCAATCTGTAACCACTAGCTTGGAAGCTCAAAATCTCATTTTCAACACCAATGAAGTGGCAGCAGTATAGACATTTTTTTTTTCTGTTCTATTTTCTATGACCTGTCAGGACATGTCTGTGTTTCACTCAGCCAGTGAGAGAGAGACTTATCAGCAAATAGTAGGGAGGCTTTGCAGTGAATAGCTTCCAACCTCCTTTAACCAGATGTGGAAATGTGGCGAACTTTGAGACGTCTAAAAATGATATGCTGAGGAATCCTCAAGGAAAATGCACGTTAAAACTCTGCCGCTTCAGTGAGACTAACCACGCCAATCATCCTCATCGCTGATATCACAATGTAATGTTTGTGTGGAATATAAAATTCTACTACTGTTCAGGATTTGCTTTGAAAACACAATTAAGACCTTGCTTGCTGTCATGTGCGCCTCAAACTGCTCTCAAACGCAATACAATCGAAGGCCAAGAATGATTTCACTCCACTCTGTTTGAAATGTTTATGAATTTACACACTTTGCACATCAGATGTCAACGACGTGTAGGAAGAAGAAGAAGAAAAAAAACTCCAGACCGTCTGAAAGCCACGAGTGTCGTTTCAGTCTTTAGTATCAAGGGACACGTGGGCGGTCTTTAGGGAACCCTTTGTCTCTGTGATTGGTCATGTGACCCGCTGCGTGGAGGCCTTGTTTATAAACTTAGAGAGGGGGTTGGCGCATGCGCAGCAGAGCTCATTCATTCACGGCTACGCAGCTGAAGAGTTAAATAACAAGAAAACCGTCTTTTAAAAAAAAAATGGTTCGACGAAACTTTGAGACTTCGAAAGCAGAACAAGGAAAACGCTTCCGACGACGACATGGGGTGTTTTATAAACTCCGTTATTGGGACTAATAATACAGCAAAATCGTCTTTATTTTTTACAAAGGAAGCTGCTTGCCCCGAAATGAATCGGCTTCAGAGGAAGGAGAAAAAAACAACAACCCAGACTTCGCTTTCATAAACGCGGATTCATTGATAGCATGTTGTTGAACAGACGCTTTAGACGCATTCAGACGTTGGAAACACAGAGCACTGGCTTTGGCCTCTTTGACGCGGAGGCAGAAAGTGAAGCTCGTCCACCGAGACCCCGAGCCTGTCGGGTCCAACACAGTAAACAAAAGAATGTCAACAAGTTGAGGCATGACGCAACCTCTGCTGCGGTCAAAATGAATGACACGAAAAGCATCGACTCAAACCCAAATCACGGTTTTACTCGCCTAACTCCGACTTCCGTCAGTTCGATTATTTAGTTTTTTGTTGCTTTATTTCACTGAGTAGCTGTCGGGAGGGGGTTCTTGTCATCAACACGGCGAGCGTCACAACGACAGGGGGGGGAGAGAAAAAAAAACTAGTCGATGTCAAGCTGTCGTTTACCGTCAAATAAAGCCGTGACAACCCGACTGGAACATCGCGTCGGGGCTTCGAAAACGGAGACGGCATAAAAGTCGGGTCAAAACTTTGTTTGAACCATTATTTCTGCGACAATAAGTACTCAACTTCCCACTTACCGTTTCTTTCTATCGCCATCGAGAAACTCTGTGGCTTTCAGTCGAGGGGTGGGAACGAGGGCTTCCAGAGAACGCCTCCCATTGGCCTTTGAGCGTATCGGTGTCATGAAAGAGGCGATTCTATTGGCTGGTACGACTGTGCAACGCAAAGAAGGCGGAGCTGAGATTGTTGATCATTTTCTGATTGGCTGAAAGTATATGCTTGTTACTGCCCAGTAACAGCTGATTGGAAATAACATGAACAATACACGGGTAGTTTTTCACTACAATGCTGCGCATTACACTTTTCCACAATAGTGCGATAGTATGTTCCTACAGGCGTTTTATTTTATGTTTTTATTTTATTTTTTTGTTTTTTTTTGGGGGGGTGGAGGGGGTTGTAAGGTCTAGCAAATGCAAGTGTAATTCAAAGAGTCAGATTATCATTTTCGTGCGATTTTGTTTGTTGTATTTATTTCCATTTTCCATCCATCCATTTTCTGAGCACCCTTCTCCCTAACGGGGTCGGGAGGTGCTGGTGCCGATCTCCAGCCGCGTTCCGGACAGTCTGTCGCAGGGCAACAGAGAGACAAACAGGACAAACAACCATGCACACACACACTCACACCTAGGGAGAATTTGGGAAGGCCAATTAACCTGACAGCCATGTGTTTGGACTGTGGGAGGAAGCCGGAGAACCCGGAGAGAACCCGCGCACACACAGGGAGAACATGCAAACTCTGTGCAGAAATACCCCGGGCCGGGAATCGAACCCAGGACCTTCTTCCTGCAAGGCAACAGCGCTACCCATTGCGCTTTTGTTTTAGCCATTCAATTCAAAACCTGGAACTCATACAGTCAATGTACCAAAGTACATTCTGTTGATTTAGATTATTATGGCTTACAGGTAACAAAAACAGTGTTAATTGCAAGTATTGGTGTTTTATTTTAATCCTTCTCTTTTGCTTTTTTTTTTTTTTTTTGCTGGATAGTGAAATTTTAATCTCCAAAAAAGCTTAACAGCAGAAGATAGGTTAAAGCTCCATAAGATTTCCGCTACAGTCGACCAAAGCTAGCAGATGGCATGGGTACCAAAATCTTCTCCAACTGTATAAACTTAATACTTGTTTTCTGTTCCTCCAGACTTTGGTGCTGTGATTTCCGAATGAGATTCTGACATTACTTTCATCTGAATAGAGGACTTAAGACCACTGAGTATAATTTAAACAACTCAATGTTGCACAGCAACGGTTCAGATTTTTTTCTTTTTAGGTAGGATGATTCAGATGCTGTGTCTCACCCCAGTCCACACCTCGACATTATCTCAGACTCTGTTACTCTTTTTTCTTCCACTCAACCTTACATTCTTATCTTTAGCTGTAGCAATCGTCGTAAGCAACATTTTGCACCTTAAATTCTTAACGAAAGTTGCCCAAGCCTATCTTCCAATTGGGTGTAGGTCAAAATACTACAAAAAAGAAGAATTTATGTATGTCAGCAAAATTTCAGATTTTTACTGCAGGCAAATCCACCAAATCTAACAGAAATAAACAAAAATTTTAAATATATCCAATCAGTGTGTGATAAATCTGAATGCTTCACTTTTCGAACTGAATTACTGGAATAAATTACATTTTTCATGATATCCTATTACTGAGATGTACCAGTGATTTAGTCTGTTTAAACTGTATTTAGGTCTTTTATTCATTTTTACCACCACCCTAATGAAATATACTCTGTGTTAAGAAGTTAAAAAAATTATTTCAACTTTATAATCTTCAAGCACTTTCGAAACACGCAAATCACTGGCCTGACTGCAAGTATGTTGAAGTAATTCCAAGATCCTCAGTATGTTAATTTCTCAGATGAGTCGTATCAGAATGACTCATCCTTGACACAGTCATTAACATTAAGAATAATATAGATTTAAATAAACAAATACAATATGCCTGTTTTTCTTGCTGAACTGATAACATTTGCATTTTGAAATGTTTTATTCTTGTCTATTTTATTGTGTTTGTTTGTGATCTTTTGTGCTTTTGCAAGTGCATCTTTTACTCATATTTTTCCAAACATGATGACAGAAAATCTTAACTTTTTAAACCACAGGATCAACCGGGGCGACCCAAGACCCAAAAAACAACACCAACTCTTGAGTTGTTATGGGTAACAACAAATAATCTCATGTAACACAGAACTATAAAATGTTCTTTAATGACATGAAAAGTGAGACACATAATTGTTTTTTGTTTTGTTTTTTTCTTCTGGCTAACGTTGTGGTCTTACCTTATAAAATAAAAGTGCTACTAAAATGGTTGGAGATCAGCATTTTTAAATGTAAACTCAGCTGCAGACAAAAAAAAACAGAAAAACTTTGTTACAGAAAACAATAAAAAAGAGAGAGATTAGTGGGGGGAAGAAAAAAATGACCCCTTTTTGATTCCTGTTCGGCAGGTATATGCAAAAATTGTCGTTGGCAGAGGTAGACAGCAATAATGTATATTTTACCTACGCAAAAAAATATGGGCTAAATCTCACACTAAAACACAGCAAAGGAAACTGTCTCAAGACACTGCCTACAATGACTACAATCCAGTGGAGAAATGTCTTAAATGCGAAGTGGGCCTACACCGTATAATAACACTCAGTTTCAAAATAGTACAGCAATGTGTTGTATATTCTTACAAAACTATCAGCTATTTCTCCCTCTGACGTTGCCTTTGTTGTAAAAGCAGAGAATTTCGGCAAAGAGCCACTAACACTTATGAAGAATAAAATACTGTTTATCAGATCAAAGAGTTATAATCTGCTGATAAACAAAGATGTACTCGAGTACAAATGTGAACTCAGTTCTGCTCTTAACACAGTATGAAAGATTTAGAAATGCAGCACGGTGAGAAGGTATTCACCCACTTTGCACATTTCTTCTTCTGTTGCTTTCCTTTATACGTATCACACTTAAATGTTTCAGATTAACAAATCTTAAGATGCGCCAGACATACCGTGAGTAAAATGCAAATGGCAGATTTCAAATGACGTGTTTACAAAGAAAAATAAAGCTGTCAAAAATGAAATGGCTTGGTGTGAAAAAGCAATTCCCCCAAAAATCCTTATAAACTGCTTGTTAAGCCCTTTGGGACAACCGCTGCCATCACACCATTTCTGTGGAACAAGTTTGGTCGGCTGTTGCAGACTCCTTTTAATTTAACCACATTAAAAAGGTTTTGCAGAATTCACGTTTCCATTAAGTAATGGACATAATCTTGGTTTTAAAGAATCAAACTGGCCCCAGAGCATCACACTTCAAACACTGTGTTTCCAAAATGCTGTGCCAGTTTTATGTCACATCTAACAGGACATACACCCTCCATATTGTCCTACTCTTCTCTCACCAGTCCATTATATATTTTCCCAAAAGTCTCTGGGTTCATTAAGATACTTCTGGCAAATGAGAGATGGGGCTTTGGCCTTGGAAACCTTCAAGGATGATATTTTTGCCCTGTCTCTTTTTTATGATGAACATTACGATTAACTGAGGGAAGAGAGGCCTCAGCTAAAGGCTGAAGGAAAATCTCAATGCAGTTTTAGAGCAATTTTGTTAGACGTGTTGAAAGTTCTGAATTCTTCAAAGTTTTCTCTGTTTGTGTTACGACTCTCGTGATTTCAGACACGATGCCTTGTGATTTCCTAACGTTTGGTAGTAGTAAGATTGCAATTAGGTACTTTCAAAGAAAACATGGTTAATCATAGCTAATGCAGGCTTAACAAGGGAAGAGGTTACTTTTTTATTTGCATAGGAGCCAGTTAGTTTGGAGACGTTTTTCTCTACGTAAATGGAATTGCCATTTGAAAACTGGATTTTGTTTTTACTCAGGCCATCCTTGCATGATATTAAAATTTGTTTCAATATCTAAAACATTTGCATCCGACAAAAAGAAGCAAAATGGGCAGAAATCCATAAGGAGGCAAATACTCTTTCATGCCATTGTAGTTCATGTGGACTTCTCCTTCTGAGAAAGGTAGTGCACCAAAACTGCCCATGATTATCCAAGCATAAATCAGCTTTGGAGACCTATTTACGATTGGTAAAATTTAGAAATTTACAAGCAATAATACACTTTTTTTTTTTTTTTTATCAGAATACCGTTGTCAAAAAAATGGGGTGAGGCATAACAAAGTGTTTCGGTTTTCAGAAAAAGTGAAGCACTTGACACTGACAAGTAAAATGCACACATATTCTTTACAGTGTAAGTCATGATTAATGTAATAAAACAGGCTTTAAGCAACTTCCGAGGTTGCGACTTTCTGTCACACGCTCTACCAACACGGGCCGTATCTTAGTCTTAATTGTAAGACACTCAAATGTGGTGTAGTGGATATTCACATTTCTTCTTCTGTTTTGAATAGTGTTGTGGAAAACATCCACAGTGAGAACTTTTTTCTTTTCTTTTTTATTTGTTTCTGCCGCCCTCTTGCTTCATGGTTCATTGGAGTCGCCTTATGCACTCTGTTGCTCAATCTCAGCGCTACTTCCAAACAAGGCCACCAGCTGCTCCTCGTAATTAGCGATATTCCTCTTCATGATGTCCATGCAAGGGCCGAGGAGTCTCTCAAACGCTTTCACATCCAGGACTTTGAGAAAAAAAAAGACAGAAAGACAGCTTTGATTTTTATGGGAATTATAGAAGGTCATGTGAAAACAGTAAGTCTATAGACTGAGTAAATCTCATAAAAGATTTTTTTTATTGGGATAAAGGCAAATGCAAGATGCTAATTAAGCACTGCCTATTTAGAGAAGATAAAAAATTAAGGTTGGTTTTGATGAATTACTCAGAACACCCAGCAAAAATTCATGCTCCTTCAACTCATATTTTATTATTTTTGTAGGGCAAACCAATGCATGGTGGTGCATTTGTTTCGTAGAAAAATAATGACATGTTTATTTATTAATACAAATCCAGCCCTTTCCCCTTACTAGAATCACTGTGTTCACAGTCAACTTTAAATTCAAATTCAAAAATATGTTATACACTAATACACTATTAAATAGACATAAAACATGGCAGTGACAGTTTGTCTTTGGTAGAGACATAAAAAGCTGATCAGTTAATAAAAAATAGTTGATGGATTTGGGCGGAGGTTCACTGTGCGACAGGACAAGGTCCCCCAAACCTTTAGCCAATGGAATGGTTTGTATCAAAGTCTAATTAGGACGACCTAGTCAAAGTTCAGACCTAAATCTAATTAATAATCTCTAGAAAGACTTGAAAACTGTTTTTCAGACAAGTTGGTGGAGACAAATCTCAACAGATCTGCAGTGAAAGGTTATTCCACAAAATATTCAGTCTGGAGGGGAAAACATTTTCATGCCATGTGATGTAAGAAAATATAAAAACAAAACAAATTCCACAAGTAACTGTGGCTGCAGTCATCCGTGCTTTTGGTGTCTGAGTGTTCTGAACAATATCTCCTGTCTTATGGGTAATTCTGCACAAACAGTTTTAGGGGAGGGAAAAAGAAGACATAGCGGAAGAGTGAGTATGAATGGCTGCCTCGACCCCTAACACAGCACATCAAAGAAGTGTACAAAATGTACCCAAACATTTGACACTCCCCACAGCATATGCCGATGCAGCTCTGGGCTTGTTTGTGACAAGAGCCAACTCCCCAAAATACTGGCCCCTCGTGCACGTGGCAATATCGAGCTCCTCTTCCTCCTCCTCGTCTTTTTTTGTCTTGTGAGAAACAAAAAGCACAAGGATAAGAAAGCAGAACCGAAAACACGCTTCCAGCACACGCCTGGAGCGTGTGCTTCCAGTTGTGAGGTTGAAAAGCAAAGTGGACACGGAAATCATTTTAAAACGTCCAAAATTACCCGGCTCCTTTTCATGGTGATCCTAACTTGGCCGCTCTCAACGATGTAAAAGCAGTCCGCTAAGTCACCCTGTTGCGACACAGCAATGCAGGCAAGCGGGCTCAGACTTTGCAAGTGCAAAACAGAGGATGAAATCGCTAGGAACACTCCACACAGAGACGAATTACCTGAGCAATAATTTGCTGTGAGTCATTGTATACTCTGGTGGACAGCACGTCTACCACCTTCATTCTCTCCGACACCTGAAAAGACATCAGGCTATCAACACTTTCACTGTGAGTCCGTGGTGCCCTTTGTTTGACACTGTGGTGCAAAGCTGACCTCTAAAGAAGTGAGTAGGGGCAGAGTTTCAATGAACGCTTCGTACATCTTCCTCTTCTTGGCGTTGTTCTTCACTATAATCCTCCGGAATGTAAGACGATCCTGAAACAAAGTTTGAAATAAAACAACTTTTTATTTATGTCTACAGATATAAGTGTGTGTGTTTTTTTTTATTTAAAAATGTTTTTTTAAATATATGTTTATTAACATTGTCACAATGACCTGACAGGAACAGATTTTTTTAAAAATGAAACTTCTCTGGCTCTATGTAGTGATCCAGCTGCTACATGTTTAAACACATTGCTTCCTGTCAGAAACAACCAATCAGAGCTAGGAGGAAGTTCTTAACACCGTCGATCATGTTCATGTATGTGCTGCTCTCACTGTTTCCCCATTCAGCTTGCACTATTGTTGAAGCTCGGGACTGCCAGTGTGCTGCAACTCTGCTAGTGATGGAGAAACAACCCAGTGTTACAGGAGACCTAGCAATTTCTTGAGTTCTCAGCTTAGTTTGCTGAGGAGAGAGGCGCTGTAGTGCAGGAGAGTGCAAAGGCGAGGGTGCGCACCTTCAAGTATAAGTTAGCATATATAATCGACAGAAGGATGGACTATCTGAAAATGAAACTATGGCAATAAAGCAGTTAAATAACTTGTAAAATAGGCATCAGTTGTTGGCCCACTGGTAAGCTTCAAAACAAAATGGTGAAAGTAGAATTGCAGAAAAACTTAAACATTGACAATACATAATTGACTTGTGGCTGGTGGACAATCAGCTAAACTGGCAAGACTTCAAATCAAATTCTGCCAAGGGCCCAGTACAGCCTGTCATTTCATGAGGTAAATGTATCATTACGCTTCTTATTATTATAACTCCAGACTGTTCTGCTGCTTTTTCAGACACCAACTCTTATGAAACCACAATATGCATTAGGTCTCAAAATGAGCTTGTGATTTTTTCTCTCTTTTTTTTTTTTGTGGGTGCAACAAAAGCATTTATTCAAAAGGTAAAAAGAAACACGGCACTCAAACGTTCCTCCTGCTTGTGCCATCTGTCTGCAATACAGTAACAGTGGTTTAATATGCCAAATATTGCTCCAAGAATTAGGCGTCAACATAAAATAGATTGAACTACATTGTAGGAAGTACCATTAGCTGCAGAGGGCGCCCTCCTCAAGCCGAGGCTCGCCATGACAGGCTCGAGAGCCCCAGGCCTTAATAAAGAGGTAAGTACTAGTGCACGTCAGACGGCAAATAACATGTCCACTGTAATGTTCTGTTAGCTCAGAGACTCTCTGGCACCACTTGCTCATCCCCAGACAAAGCTGGCTGCATGGTGAAGAGAGGAGCTCCTGCTCGTTCACAGCTTAAGCTGCACACTCTAAGACTCTCCGGTCAGCAGAGGGTTCAGCGTCAACGTCCCTCGTCTCCCGTAGATGACATAACAGAGCGGCTAGCTGCTCTTTAAGGACACAAACCTTGCTGAGTCATGAATAAGAGGGATGTTTCTCTTCCAAACGAACCGTCGCACTGCTCATCCGGCCCACAGGAAACTTTTTAGAGACAAAATTGCATCCAAATTCTATGGAGTCGTTTCTACTATTTCATTAGCTCTTAGTGAATATGTAAATTCATATCAAGCAGTGATATTAGTCCTCTAGTCTGATTCTCACATCCAATGGATTTCACACAGATGAAACCAGACGTTCACAATGTTGTAGGTCATGTGACTTTCTTCTCCCTGTCCTCTTTTGGATCAGCATCGTTGTTTTCAGCTGGAAGCGTGCGGATGGGCAAGACAGCCTGCAAACTTCACTCGGGTCCAAATCGTTTTTAAATTTTGTGGAAGAATGCGCAAAATGTTTGACCTAAGTAGAAAAAAAATTGAGCAAACATGAACAGTTTGGCTAATGCTAACTATCACCTATGTCAAAATGGTTTCTGACTTCATTGCAAACAGTGTGAAAGAAACAACGATTGCGTCAATTAACGCTTCAACTGCGCATTATGTTACCCAGTCCTGACTGTGCAGCACCACGCTGCAGCACAACCACAAACAGCCTGGGTGTTTATTTAAACTGTGCCAGCTGACTGCACAGCGTATGTCATTAAAACCTGAGCAAGCAGCAGCCAGCTGTGCTCCTGCTCGGGTGCGTAATGTTTCACTCACCAGGCACCAAAGGGCTCCAGGCGAGGTTGCAATTATGGTGGCCGCCCTCGGGGTGTTGTACATCAGCGCCAGTTCTCCAAAGCTGCCCTTGTTGTCATAGGAGCCCACCAGCTTCTCCGCGCCCTCAATCTTTACAAAAATGTTGAACGTCCCACTGACCGACAGCAAAACCACAAAATAAATCACTTTTAAAAATTTAGAAAGACACAATTAATCATTTAAAAGTAAGTGCGTGTAGCACCTTTCGATGACGTAGAAGTTGTCCCCGTCATCATCTTGATCAATGATGTGCTCTCCCTCTGTGCAGAACTTTTCAAACATGGCGTCCAAAACTTGAGATATTTGCTCCTGAGAAGGAGAAAAACATAAGGCTGTTTCAATTTCTTTGTGTTTGAAAACAAATGATAAAAAAATCAATATTTCCAACTTAAAGAGCTGACCAATGGTTGAAACAACGCAGGGAGGAAACACAAGCAACGTAAATCTGCTGGACCAGGTCGTGTACTCACTGGATCTAAGTTCTTGAACAGAAGAATGTCCCTGCAAGCTTCCTGTAGTCTCTGCCTCTGCTCGTCGGTTTTGGGGTGGGTAACCTGCGAAACAAAATGCATTTCACGCGGGACTGTCTTGGAGCGGCCGATGATTACATAAAGAAATCATATTCTTCACCAAAATGTCGTCTTATGCTAAGAGAAATGATATATCTGTATGATTGCTGCATGGACTGACGTTTACCCTTGGCTCTTTATCTTCGTCATCTTCGTCAGGGTTGAACGCCTCTGCACACACTGTATCACAGATAGCAACAAAGGAAAATATTGTCACATCTATGCTGTGTTTTGACAATCTCAAAGTACATTTACTCCATTACAAGCTGCATTTAATCATATTTGCACAGAACCCTGTGGACAGTAAAGACAAACAGCCTTCTTCCCCGTTCTGTTATTATGCCTTTGAATGCAATACAGTAACTTTAAGATATATTCACAGCCCTTCAGTTTTTGCAGATTTTGTCCCATTACACCCATAAGCGTCATTGTTTTGTTTTTTTTTATCAGCACTTTATTTCACAGACCAATACAAAGGAGTGCATAATAATGAAGTGAAAGGGAAATTATGTATGATTTTCATTATTTTCTACAAACAGAAAGCCAAAAGAGGCAAATTTATGAGCGTCACCTTTGCAGACGTCTCTACCCACCTTCTGAATCTAAAGACCGACTCTTGTGCCCATTTTTCTACGGAAAATATCTCACGTTGAATCAGATTAAATAGAGAGCATTTGTGGGCTAGAATGTTTGAGTCTTGTTGGATTTAGGTCTGAACTTTGGCTGGGCCATTTCAACACGTTAATACAAACACATAAAAAATAAAAAAAATTTAAAATAAAAAAAAAAACTCTGAATGTTCCTGAAAAGCCCATTTATTCTAGGAACTTTACAACTAATTGAAACACATTATGTAGCTTAATTACAGATGGATGTTTGAAAGCCATTATTTCCGTTAGTTATGACGATTTTTAGCAAACGGGTCATGAAAAAAATGACCCGTTTGAAATTAGACCATTCCATTAGACCAATAGAAAAACAAAACATTTAATACAGAAATGTGGGTGTAATAAAAAAAAGTTTATTTAATACTTGTGTGAAGGCTATTTTCAAGTTATTTTTAATCTGATAAATTGGCTTCATCTGAATGCATATTCTGATTTATTGACTATGACTGTATGTGTTTTGGATTGGATTGTATCTAATTTGTTTAAGGGAGTCTCTAGCGTCACTCTCAAGTCTTCCATCATAGTTCCCTTCATGAACTATGATGATCTTCCTCGTCTTTAAATCCTAAATATCCACACAGTGCATAATGCTGCCACCACCATATTTCTAAGTGGAAACGGTGTGCTCAAGGTAATTTGAGGTTACCTAAATTTTCTTTTTTTTTTGTTTACATTGAGGTTTGTGTTTGTCTCAAGTCAAATGTTTAAGGGATGTGGATACTTTCGCAAGGCATTGTGGGTAAACTGTGCTATGTTTCAAACAGAATTAAACAGCAACATTTTGTTAAAACATTTTTCCATTCGTGCAATAACACTTTCAGGATAAGGAATGAATTAAATCATTTTTGCAGGTCCAATTGCACCTGGTTTTCATTTCTATCTACAAGATTAGCCGATCCGAAATGCTCATGGTTTAACAAAGTACAAGTGGAACGTTTCACATCAGCAAAACTGCAGCCATCTTTCCGCCAGAGCCACAACCTTTCCCGACTATTGTGAGCGAAAGATAATTATAAGCATCACTTGTCCTGATTTCCTCGCCCATGTCACTCACTGACATAATAAACCAGGTTCAAGACAGAGCAGCTTCACAGCCTCTTACAAATCAGCCTTATTGTAATAAGACGGAAGCGATGACAAAAGACAGCTGGCATAAAAAAAAAAAAGATTTTCATTTGTCGGAGAAGCTACCCGTTCTCTGACAAATGACACAGACCAGAGCCACAGGATGTTAATAAAAAACTTTAACAAGCGGCAAATTGTAACTCACCCGATGCTCTTCTGATGAATCTGTTTATCACTGGCGCTGTAAACAACGAAAAGCCACATGTTCAGTTTCATCATAAGCTGAATCGCTCTGAAAGCTGTTTTTGAAAAGAGGTTTGGTGGCTGTGATTTCACAGCTAATACCCCCGTGGAGCCCAACTCATTAAGGAATCCACATTCATCAGGGTGAAACCTGAATGAGGACAGCTGCTTTGAAGTGGATTTAGGTCTTTGAATAATTTCAATGACAAGGACAAAAAAGAAAACATTAAAATGTAACACGGTGTGAAAGTGCCAAGCTCCTAGAAAATAGATCAGCATGAAATGTATATTAGGAAGTCTCATCTATTGATAGCTTCCCAGTCATGAAGTGGGCAGGGGAAGCTGGCTGAATGATCATCAAGCGTGACCCAAAAACTCGTCGATTTAACAAACAAACCTGCTCATATCTAAGCGCTACAGCCAGCCGGTCGGTCAATTAAAGCTGCAACTAAACTGAGCTGTCGATTTGAATTTTTTGGTTTAGCGTAGTTAAATATTTTTTGTTGCTTGCGCCTAAAGACTTTTTTTTTTCCAATCGTTGTGCCCCTTTTTGAATATCCATCATCTACTCTTGGTACCACCTTCAAATACCGGGATCCCATATTTAAAGATAGAAAAAATAAAAGACCTGAAAAAAGGAATCAAAGCAAGTGTTTTATTTTAGTTGAGAAGTTTTAACATTGCAGCACATGTAAAAGTCTTGAAATTCTACCATGGGGTTTGGTTTTGGTGTACCACCCAAAGTGTAAGTTGCATTCTGCAATCTCCATTTAAGAACATTTTTCCTCGAGTTTGTGAATTGGATTAGAGCAGAATGCTGTGATTGACTTTTATGACTAAGTCAGCACCAAACCAACGAACAAATTCCAACTTGCAGCTAGAACGCATTCAACTCAATCACTATTCATCTCTCACTTCTGAAACAATTTGCAATAATTAATAATCGTCTTCATTTTGCCAAACTTTTCCACAATCGAACTCGAGGAGGGAAATAAAACTGTGCTTGGTGATCCGTGGTTTTATGTGCAAGTGCAACCCCTCAATAGAGTCAGCTTGGGGCCCTATTTATGGTCGGACCGGCCCTGCAACCGGCCCTTTCAAACCCCACCACTCACCGGGATGCTGTCTCTGATGTGTTCTGATGCTGCTTGCATCTCTGCATGGCCAGATGTTTGAAATACAATCACACTTCAGGACAAACAAAATGTCACCTTTCAAAGCAAGGCGTTGCTTAGATCTCCTGTTTTTTCCATCAATTCCCCCTTCCTTACTGGCTAATGAGGTTAAACAGGCCTGCTGATAGGTGGCCTGAAAATACTCAAGACAACAACAACAACAACAAAATAGAAATGGAAAGATCTCTTCATTCTGCAGCTCTTGCAATCGAAATGCATTCTTAACGCAAATAAAACCCCGTTGCAGAGCTGGACACGTTTAGCGCGTCTCTCAGCCTCTCTGACCATATATGGCGAATGACAGACAGCAACGGTGGTGGATGCAAGGTGGCGAGCATCCCCGCGCCTCGTTTCCAGCGTCTCCCAGCCGTGCGCTCGCTCCACCGTGCATGCATATGTCTCGACATGCATTAACATCAGCGACGTGCACATACGCGCTGTGTCCAAAGAGAAAAAAACAAAAAAACAAACAAAAAATAAAAACGCACATCGGCTTACCTATGAATTCCTCGTCGTCGTCGTCGTCCTCCTCCTCCTCCCCGTTCTCCGAATCGATCTGCATGGCCTCGTCAATGAAATTGACCGCTTTCCCAGATCGCGGGGCCGAGTTTTGGTCATTGCCAAAGGAGGCCTCTTTGGTCTCGCTGTCCTTCAGCCGGGTGAAGTACTGTAGCGCGAACTCGAGCAGGTCCCTGGGCTGATTCCTCAACACTTCCACGGTAAAGCTCTGTAACAGCTCCGTCAGTCCCTCGGGGATTTCTATACTCATTCCTGTTTTCAGTCTTTGGATGTGGACAAAACCGGTTTGCTGCGAATTCTACAAAATATCACACACACACGCACGCACACGAGAAAAAGACAAAAACAGCTTCCCCGCCCTCCTCCCGATGGAAATAAGGATAACGGGGTGTATAGTCTGGACGCCCCCCAAGTCAGTCAGTCAGTCAGCGAGCCGTCCACAGCGGATCCTCTCCTTTTCTTGAATGAAAATGGCTGTGGATTTTTTTTTTTTTTTTTTTTTTTGGGTCCAAGCATCTTCTGCTGCTTCTGGCAATAGGAAACCCACGCATGTGACCCAGGAATCCATGGTAACCACCTATCCAGGGATTGCGTACATGAGCGGCGGCGGCGCAGAAACTGCAGTCAGTCGCAAAATACAAATTATGGGAAAGAGAAGCCGACGTGTTGTCAGACATGGATTTTCACCGGAGGAGGTCGGATCCTGCCGGCAGAACGAGACATCACATCATGCTCATGTTCTTATTTTGTGTGTGTCGGTAATTAAGTTGTTATGTCGAGCTGAAATATTGCGCGATTGGGAGTGGATGAAATGCATCGGTGCTCAAATGTGTTGTTTTTCTATTTTGTTTGCTTTTTATTTATTTTATTGTTACTTTAAGTTGAGATCATGAAACCACACCCTCAAAGCAGGTGAGGAAAATAAAAGTAATGCGGATTGAAGTTTGCATGTAGGTTTTGTCTCATCCGTGCATATTGGCCTTTTGTGGTCTGCATTGATAAAAGAATTATAATTAATCACTCAAATCCCAAAAATCTGTGGACTATTACAGCATGGTCTATATTTTGTGTTTCAGATCAAACAAGTAAACAATAGAAACAACTAATGTGTAGGAGGAGTAACACAATTTTCTTTTAAACCATGTTGTCCCTGGATGCTAATTATGTAGAAAATAATAATCATAATAGTAATAATAAGTACAGAGGCAAATCTCGTTTTGACGCCTCAATGCCAGAGAGTTTGGGGACCATTTCCGGAATCACAGGGGCGGAAAAGCAATAACTGCTGCAGGAGCGTTTAGGACATTGTGACTCTGACACTGCACACCAACAACGACGTTTATTATACAGCAGAAATGATCAGTTTCTTTTATAAGTGTAGGGTTTCCTCTCCACCCCCAGGCTTTACGGGATTCTCCTCCCCTTCTTTGCCCTGTATCTGTCACCTTTTGTTTAAAAGATAAGTTTTCTCTCTGGTGAAGATTTTCAACGATTTCTGCTTGTCTGCCTGTTAGCTTCCTGATGGTTTATTGAAGCTGCTCTGTGCATCCCTTTCCTAATATTACATCTACCAAAATTTAATAGTACATTATGAAATTAGTTGTAAAAAAAAAACAGAACAATTAAATTTAGGAATTTTTGATACGTGTTGAAACTGATCAGGACTAGACATATTTGTAGCATTGAGACTGGCTAAATAAATGTGCATTTAAATGAGAGAGATCATTTTTAAAAAAACAAAATATCTTAAGTGTTAAAATTTACATTTACCATGTTTATCAAAAGATATGTCGGTAGGAAAGTGTACCAGATCCTATGTAATATAGTACATGTGACCTGGCTGAGTTAGAGTAATTTGAGTCCCATCCGTGCGATGGCGCCATCTGCAGGAAGCAATATTATACTGCAATTTCTAAGGACAGTTTGTGTTTCCCTTCATAAAGTCTATAGGGTGTAAGAAATAGTTAATATTTTCCTAAATAATTAAAATATAACAAAGAGGCTGCCAATTTTAATCAAACCCCTTTAAAATATACTGAAGGTGAATGCTATGGTGTCAAAAGCTTGTCACTGGGATAAAGGAGTAGTGTGTGATTTTCCAACCACTTTGTGCTATAAAATGGCACTGCCAAATTAAGTAACCATGCATGCTACCTACATTTGTTGAAAAAAAAAAAAATATATATATATATATATATATATATATATATATATATATATATATATATATATATATATATACATTAAAAAAAAACTTGAGAAAGGAATTTTCTCGGGTGGTTCTTATCCTCTGAGCTCGGGTCCTCTACCAGAGGCCTGGGAGCTTGAGGGTCCTGCAGTATCTTGGCTGTGCCAAGGACTGCTGCACATTTCTGGACTGAGATGTCTGATGTTGTTCCTGGGATCTGTTGTAGCCACTGCTCCAGTTTGGGGGTTACTGCCCCGAGGGCCCCGATGACCACAGGCACCACTGTGGTCTTCACCTTCCAGGCCCTCTCCAGTTCTTCCCTGAGGCCCTGGTATTTCTCCAGTTTCTCGTGCTCCTTTTTCCTGATGTTGCAATCACTTGGTATTGCTACATCTACCACAACGGCTTTCCTCTGATGTTTATCCACTACGACAATGTCTGGTTGGTTCGCCATTACCATTTTGTCTGTCTGGATCTGGAAGTCCCACAGGATCTTAGCTCTGGCGTTCTCCATCACCTTTGGGGGTGTTTCCCACTTTGATCTCGGGGTTTCCAGTCCATATTCTGCACAGATGTTTCTGTACACTATGCCTGCCACTTGGTTATGTCGCTCCATGTACGCTTTCCCTGCCAGTATCTTGCACCCTGCTGTTATGTGCTGGACTGTCTCAGGGGCCTCCTTGCACATCCTACACCTTGTAGGTAGTATTTATCAAATATGACTTAAAAGAAATTTGACAGTGTAATTTGACTGTAATTGAATGCATTGAAATTGGGCCTGTCTCTTTAGGTCCTGTTCTATAATCCATAGGCAGACTGTTCTTCTTACACAGCTAAATTTTGTACCCAATCCCCAGTTTCCCCCACTACTTTCCTCAAGTTTCTGTACCGAGAATTGGATGACAGATCAATATCCGTTTACATGAATACATGGCATCACAAAAAATTATATATATTGCACCTCCAAACCAGAGGTGCAATATATTTCCTGCACGTTCTGTTTTTCTGTCTTGATTAATATGGACGGTACTCTGGTAAAAATGTCTGGCAACAGTTTGGAACAGTGCAAACAATATTCATATTGTATGTGAATATACAGAGCATCTTAGGATGTCCTTTGTCATGTTCTGAACTGTTGACATCTACTCCATTTGTTTCACAAACTTGTGAAACAGTGGAAGCATTTTAGAATTGACTTCCTACAAAAATACTAGAATTTGCAAACAAAGTGTCATTTTCACAGAAAGCCAGATATTAAAGTACTCTGAACGTAGCTAGTCACCTATAGCGTTAACTTCGGTGATAGTAATACTTCTAACACTTCAGCAGTTCTGCCCACCTCTGCATCTCAGTCCTCTAATTTATCTTGTGTTCAGTAGTTGTAGCTTCCCTAAACCAACCGAGTCAGTTTTGACAAATCTAAAGATTCTGGAAGCGTTTTCATGAAAATGCCGTACTGTGTCACATTTGGACGTGTTTAATGCAAAATGGTTTGGTAGTACTTGATTTGGTTTCACTTCTGCATTGAAAACACATTTTTAATTGTTTTCCAAAACAAAGATTTTTGTGGTAACATTTATTCGATCAATAGACGGAATTGCATCTTTCCATAAACAGTTCAGTTAAATATTAACAAATTTACAGTCATGAGGAATGTAAAAAAAAAAAAAAAAAAAAAAAAAAAAAAAAAAAAGTCACAAAAACCCAAACAATGGTCTTCTTAAAAAAAAACCCCATCCCCAGGACCCCACTCAGGATAACATTAAACACAGCAGCAATGGAACAAGAACTCCAATTTCCAGTTCCATCGTCACGTCGTCCTTTTCAGTGCTTCACAGTTCATCCTTTGGCTCTGCCTGCAGGGTAAGAAAGAAGTGTGAAATCTTTGGCATTCAGAGTCATGAGAGCATATTAAGGACATGAAAGAAGCCTCACCGTTTCGTCATCATCATCTATAACTTCTTCATCTTTATCTTCAGACTCTTCCTCTGCTGGCTCCTCTGGCTCTTCCTCCGGCTCTTCTTCAACCTACCGAAAAGATGCCATTTTTAATGGGTACTCCAACAGTCAAGTCATTCAAATATTAATGCGTGGGAGTCAAAATTAGATTAAAAGCCAGTGAACGTGCCTGTTCGTCCAGAGGGACGTTCATGCTGAGCCGGAGCATGCGCTCTATTCTGTCTCCGTAAGCTTTTGTGTCGGCCAGCTGGTATCCTGAGCGCAGAGTTGCCGTCTCAAACAGAACCACTGCGAGATCTGATGCGGTCTGGTCCTCAGCATCAGCCTAAAAAATGCAAGAAACAAAAAGTAGTCAGACATGGCGTCGTTTTATCGTCAAAACTGTTTAAGGCATTCGATGACGCATCAGTAGGAAGGGCAGATTGATGCTTACATTGACTCTGTTGAGCATCTGCTTGACAAGGGGATGTTTGGGGTTGATTTCTAGTGTTTTCTTCTGGCTGGCATAATAACTGAGGAACAGACGACAATACATGTGAGCTTCAAGAGGCAGTAAGACAGGTTTACAGGCACTTATACATAATTAAAATAGCAGAAAAACTTAAAATAGAAATTACACAACAAATAGATTCTAATGTTTTGTCAGGGAATTAGATTGTTGTATTGCATGTCATGGACAAGATGGTGTTTTCTGGACTTTTGGGAATCAACTCCAGCTGAAGTCCATACCATCTCAATTTTCCCAAAGACTTGGTATTGCTCATGGGTCTTTAGAGTCCCCACTAACCTTTGTAATTTTTACTACTAAAGTTAGTCCTTCTCCTCAATTTTCCATTAACATTTTTGGAAGCAGCGCATTTAAAAACAGGTTTGAACTCCGAGTGCATGAGTGTGACTTGTACAACAATCATGTAATCAGTCTTACTCTGTGATTGGTTGGGCCACTACATAATATTTTCTAAATAAATATCCCTTCTACAATTTAAGTCTTGGCAATATTTCAAGACACATTTTAGAGTTTTCACATATCAAATAAATACATTAAGTATCCTTAATCAATGAAATTTCAGTTGCATTACTGAAAAGCATCTGATGTCCTTTCTGACATGCAGCTGTGTTGACACTCACTTTGTGGAAATGTCTTTTCCTGTCTGGTAAGCCTGAGCCTTCATGATCCTCTCCATGTTTCCTGACCAGCCGTACTGACTGGCAACCAGAGCGCAGGGCGAGTTGGTCAACCTCTGAGAGAGAACGGCCTTTTCGATCTGTTGAGAAAAGAGGCAAATATTCTGACTATGCGACATTAAAAACGAGCCAAATCCATGATTTCTGTTGGTGGATGAAATAACTACAACACAGCAAATTTTCTACCTTGTCCTTCAGGGCCTTGTCCTTGAGCCAAGTAGTGAGAGGCTCAAACTCCTTCTCCAGGGCCTCCCTCTTCTCCTTGGCCTTATCACTTTCCTCAAACTTGACGCCCTCTTTGGCCACATTCTGGAAGCGTTTTCCGTCAAACTCTGGCAGCGCCTGAATGCAGTACTCGTCCACAGGCTCCGTCAGGTAAATGACCTCGTAGCCCTTCTTCAGCAGCCTCTCAACGAAGGGAGAAGACTCCGCCTGTCAAGACACAACGGATTATTTCAGTGAGCGTTCTAACATTTCAACACTCTCCAATCCACCCCTGTATACCATCGTTACTTACCTCCTTCCTGCTGGTCCCTGCCATGAAGTAAATCTTGTCCTGCTTCTCCTTCATGCGCTCCACATATTGCTCCAAGCTGGACAGGACTGTGTCGCTGTTGGACGTCTGGAAGCGGAGCAGTTTAGCCAGACGGGTTCTGTTGGAGTGGTCCTCGATGACGCCCAGTTTGACATTGGTTCCAAACTCCTTCCAGAACTTTTCGTTGTACTGATCATCTGCAATCTTCTTGATCATGTCCAAAGTCTTACGGACCAGCTTCTTGCGGATGACCTATTGAGTCAGGAGAAATTGTTTAACCAAACGTCTTTCGCCTTTTCATTGAAGGACCGTAGAGACTGCAATGGACTTTGAGATTACCTTGAGCAGTTTGTGCTGCTGCAGGGTTTCTCTGGACACATTCAGAGGAAGGTCATCAGAGTCAACCTGGCAAAGGAGACCACACTTAGTCTCAGAGAAAGTGATGGCAAAGAAAATCATATAAACTAACCAGCTATCAGCAACTCACCACTCCCTTGACGAAGTTCAGGTATTTGGGCATCATGTCGTTGAAGTCGTCCGTGATAAAAACTCTCCTGACAAACAGCTGTGTGACAAAGTTTTGACATAAATCTCAAAGTCCTGCATACGTTTTTTACTCCCTTTTTTGTTGAAACAAAACTCTGCTTTGTTCGCAAACCTTTATATAGTCGTTCTTCTTTGAGCCATACTCGTCAAAGAGGCCACGTGGAGCCGACGTGGGGATGAACAGGATGGACTTGAAAGTAACTTCTCCTTCAGCAGTGAAGTGGATGTGAGCCAGGGGGTCGTCACTGTCCTGGTGGGGAGAAAAACGTGACTGGAATTTAACAGGGTCTTGATATAAAAAGGCTTCTAACTTGTCTGACAAATATAGACTGTTCATACCTTCGAGAAGGTCTTGTAGAAGGCCTTGTATTCGTCCTCTTCAACCTCCTTGGCTGGTCTCTGCCAGATTGGCTTGATGTCATTCATCAGTTCCCAGTCCCAAACTGTCTTCTCAACCTACCATGTGAATGATTGTTTAAGAAATGGTACAATTCTGACTTTATGTACTATCCAATCCACCATGACACAGCAAAAAGATTCGATCAATAGGTGAAGAAAAATAAGAAAACGAAGAGAACTGGTTCTGGTTGGAAAATAAATATCCACTTAAATGCTATCAGTTTGCATGTACAGCTCTCTTTAGTGTTGACATTATTGAGATGTGAAAAAAATTTCGCAGAAGAAGTCCAAAAAGTTGGAAACCTCTTGTAACACCAATGGTCTACCTGAACTTCCGGCATGTACTGCCACAGTTAATAATAACTGTAGCATGATGCTAATACATGATTAGCTCAACATGCTGCTAAACAGTTCAATATGTTAAGTCCATAATGAAAGATTGTGAAATCCTGTTAAACTGCAGAGGAGACTGAACAAAAAAACAATAGGACAAAACAGCTGTTTATATTAAGGAATAATTTAGCGGTCAACAGTCAATTGGAGCCTTTTGTTCTCAAAACTCACTAATTCCAATAGCCCTAAGTGAGTTTTCAAAAAATTACAGGAACAACAAGGATCTGTAGACTTCAGGCTTTCACAACACAAAGTGCCATTTCCACAGTCGGACAGTACGACGTGCAGCTCTTGTTTGTCACACTTGTTTCTGGGAGACAAGGCGTAGCATTTATAATTGGTAAAAGGCTCCAATTGTACATGTAGCATTTATTTTAAATGGACTTTGTCAAGAAATATATCTTTTAAGAAGTTAATTATTAGATTTTCAGGTGAGCAAAGCTAGAGCAGTTCTAATAAGGAGAAAACTTCTCTAACTTTGAGGTGTTTCAAAGGAGAAAACACCCGAGAAGTACAGCTTAACTAAACTATTATACAACTCAACTTTAAGCTCTTACCTTCTTAGTCTTTGGCTTGTCTTTATCCTCCTCCTCTTCCTCTACTTCAGCCTCATCTTCAGAAGCCTCCTTCTCTGGTTCATCTGCCTCAGCGTCATCGTCGATGGGCTCTTCAACCGTCTCAGTCTTACATGTTCACAACAAAAAGAATCATTTGCCCTGCTCTATATTCTCCATCAGCTTTATAATAGCAGGAGTGAGAGTTAGAATTAAATAATTACCTTGCTAGCCCAAACGTAGATGGGAAAGTTGATGAACTGGGAGTATTTCTTCACAAGATTCTTGATAGTTTCTAGTTCAAGGTAGTCTGAAGCCTCCTCCTTCAGGACCAGTCTGAGTTTGAAAAAAATTTAAATAAATAAGAGGCAAAACACTCAAGTTCAAGGCCAGCGTAGAATGAGAACTGAAGTAGTGACTATACAACTAGTAAAATGTTTACAGTTATTCATCAGCCACTATACTCAATAAACGTACGTAATGGTTGTTCCCCTTCCCAGTGTGTCCTCACGGGGATCCTCGATGACTGAGAACTGGTTGGAGTCTGACTCCCAGATGTGCTGTGTGTCGTTGTTGTGCTTGGATGTGACAATAACCTTGTCAGCAACCAGGAAAGCAGAATAGAAACCCACTCCGAACTGGCCAATCAGCTCGGACGTAGACTGCCCTTCAGACTGCATCTCCGTCATCTTGTTGAGGAACTCGCTGGTGCCCGACTTGGCAATGGTGCCCAAGTTTCTCACCAACTCGTCTTTGGTCATTCCGATACCGGTGTCAGTGATGTGGAGCATGTTCTTCTCCTTATCAGACTGCGAACGAGAATGGAGACAGACATGTCACGAGTTAAATTGTTTACAATGTGGCAGTTCTGATAATAAAGCAAAACTGCTTAGGTAGCAGCATTTTCCTGCTTCAATCTGGGGGGAGAATTATACAAAATTCACTCCTGCACTCTCCCTGCCAACACACTTGAGGAGACTGAATCGAACATTTTAGCAATTTTAAACATCTTTAAAATATATCTCACTGCTTACTTTAATTTTGATGGTGAGCTCTTCATTTGCTGCCAATGCTGATTCATCAGTAAGAGACAACAGCCGGATCTTATCCAGAGCGTCGGAGGCATTAGAAATCAACTCCCTGAGGAAGATCTGAAAGACATGAACAGGTAAGCATCCCCCAGACAGTAACCCAAACAGGGCTTCCACTTCCCTCTTCCATCCTCCTACAAACCTCCTTGTTCTTGTAGAGAGAGTTGATAATGAGCTTCATCATACGATTGACTTCTGCCTGAAAAGCGTGTTTTTCAGACTTTTCCCTGAGTTCCTTAATCTGAGAAGCATTCAAACCATCCAGCTGGATAGCCTCCTCCTCCCTTAAGGAAGTCAAATACAGAAACGCAAGTGAAACAAAACAGAGCACACAGATTTAAAACGTCCATAAACAGAAAGCGATTGGACTCCTTGTTTAGAGTTGCTTGTGATGGTCATGTTCTCGAGAACTGAGATTCTACAGCAGTAGCTCGAAGGAAGAGGACACTTTCACTGCTCACATGTCTACCATGATGATCGGAGTACAAAGGCTTGGGGGAGCTGACCTTGAATTTGGGTGATTGTCAGTGTAACCAAAAAAAATAAATTGTGTCAGCTTTGGATTTGCAGTAATTCAGAAAAATGAGCAAAGTTGTTACTGAAACAATATTCTGTGACAAAGAAGATATGTTGTGTTTATTTTTTGGACACTTCTGCTTAGATTGTAAGCATCTCACACACTAAATACATCAGTCCCATTTAAACAATTATATTCACTAATATACAAAGAAAACACGAATCAATGACTGAATGCTAAACTGCCCATAATTGATTTTCGAATGTTCTTTTCCTTGCTGATGTTCTGTACATCAATAGTGGAAGTAACAAATGTGAACTTATTCTGAAAGCCTATTTTCAATTTCCTTAGCAAATAAGCTGCACCTACCTCTGCACCACCTCATCGTCTGTTCTGGAGCCATCTCTGCTCTTTCCCAGGTCGTCCTCAACTGTGCCATCCACATCCACTTCATCCTCGGCCCTTACAGCAGCTGCCACGGAACAGATATGGTTACATTTTTGTCACACATGTCGTACCATACCTCTGCGTCGGTTGTAACGGTCGACGCTGATCGTTTAAAAGACGAAATTAGTTTGAAAGTCCGATTGACTGCGATAGAATGGATGCATTTCTGTAAAGCGAATTGTGTTGCTAATAGAAACTTCTAGAAAAACCGTCACGAATCACAATAGTGTCCATTGTGACAAATAAATAAAAATTAAAGCATATCTGCCCAAGGATTTTCCTGTCTCCATAGCAGCCAACGTGCGGCTTCATTCCCACAACCAGAAACTTCTGGAAAGGCAACAAGGAATAATGAACATTGAAGCTGCTCTGAGCTATCAAAATATGCCGTTTTGAAGGTTTAAAACTCATATTTATGCAGAAAGAAAATAAAGAGTTGAGCATAAGGTGGAAAAGCACAAAGACAAGTTTCCATTAGCCTTGCTGTAGCTGAAGTAGCTAAAAAAAATTAACAGCAAGTGAGCCACAATGACAAAAAAACAACAACTTCCCGCTACTTACCGAAGGCCAGAAGTGTGAAAAGCAGCCCTACCACCCAAACTCGTTTCATTTTGAAATAAAGCTCTACTGATATTGTGAGTGCTCAGCTCCTGAGACAAAAGGCAGGAGAAATAGCGCAGGAAGCTCTGTCTTTGTAGCAGTTGCCGTGCGGCTACTTCTTCGACTGAGTGAGCGTGCCCAGTCCGTTAAACCCTCCACCGTCGACCAATGGCTGCGCACCACGCACAACATTGGACCAATCACCACCAAGCATATGGCACATGCGGTCCAATCAGATCCCTCAACATAAGTCGATGACCGAAAATCGTGGCTAGACACCATTGGCCAAGAGTGAATATTCAGCACATCACTTCCAAAAATTAAGGTTGTATTTTACATGAAAATCTACGTAGGTTAAAGATTGATTTGTTGAATAATATCATAGAGAAAAAATGCAGCTTGATGACACACACACAAAAAAACGATGACTCTTTTTTGTTCATGGCTTAACTGCCAATATCATTGCATAACATATATATATGTACGTAATTAGGTGAAAGCAGATATGCAAATATGAAAGACGAATATGTCTTCATAAAAATGGGAGCTTATTTGATCTGTACTAAATGGGAATCTCCAAGGATTGCGTTGCTTATTCTATAAAGTTTAGTGTTGCTCAGCGATAGACATAAAACCTTTCCAGGATTTGCCTCTGTGCTCTACATTTTTGGTCTAAATTTTGGAAAATATACAAGTAAATGCATGAACGATTCAGGGTCTGTTTTATTCTAAGAGCCCTACTTGTCTTATTCCACCAGATGGCAGTATTTAGTTAGTAAGTAAATGATACGGTTGTCACCTCTAATGAAGAATGTTTATAATAAACAGATGTGCCAGATGTGTATATTGTCGTGTTTCATCCCCCAAGGGTGTATCTGATTATATGAGCATCACATAAGGTTGCACTACTTAAAAAACATATTTATCTGTGTTGCCTCAAAATGAACGTAAATAAAATACCAGATTTTATAATAAATCAGTCTCATTTATAAATGGTCATTTCAAATCTACAGAAAAGTGACTCTGTGTAGTCATTTCAGAGCTTGACATTTTTCAGAAAATGCAAAAGTCATTGCGAGGTTTGGATTAAAAAGACCATGTGAGAAAATTATTCTGTTCTGTTGCCGTTTAAACATGGTCAGGATTGCGCAAGAAAGTAATCTTTCCCAGCGAAAGATTACGTTAGTTGCAATTAAAAACTACGAGGTTAGCAATACCACTGCATAAAATTTGTACACAGCTTTGTTAAAAATAATTACCCAACTTTGAGACGTTCTTATCAGTCCAGTTGGGGATTAACTATGGACCAATCAAGCCCTGGGATGATTTTGGACAGCAGAGTTGACATTGACATGTCATGTTGATAAATGCATTCAAATGACATTATCTAATGTTAAAACTCTCAGATGGAAGGTGGAAAATAATAACCCATAATTTGATTTCTAAAACGTAATACTTGGATGGAGGTGCGTGATTATTGTCTTTTCAGTTAATTTTCCATACCTGAATAGGGCACCTAATCCTGGGGTAATCAGAATTGAGGTACGGTATGCCCTAAGTTGGTGGTGAGGAAATAAGCAGGTTTCATGACAATGATCTGTAATCTCTTGAAAAGGTAAAGCAGAAAATAAAAGCTGCATATTTACACCTGCACAAAACTGATGTAGTTTATTAATATGACACGTTTGTCTTTGGACTGTTGGACAAAACACAAAGCACACTCCACAAAAAGGACATGTCTGCCCTTCGAAACTATGTGCTTTAACTCAACATTTTAAGTCAGTCTATAACTAGCAACTCCCGACCCCGTTAGGGAGAAGGGTGATCGGAAAATAGATGGATGGATATAACTAGCAACTCTGAAAAAATAAAAGTAAATCTTTCAGTTGTCAAAGTCTTCACTGGAGATTTTGCCTTGTACTAGTTGAATAAAGCATTAAATGATTTACTCATTGTTTTCACTTCTATTATCCAGGGTCTAACTTTTGGAGATGGTTCTCTCCACCAAACCCCCCTTACATGCAAAAACGAAGCAAGTGCAGAAAATAGATGGATGATGAATGTGAATGTAAGATGACAAAAGAACACATTATATATTTTTATAGTTTTCTGGGTTTCATTTTAGATCATTATCTCTTTTTAATTAATTCAGAGCGGGATTTGGTTTTATAGGTTTTTCTCAGCCATGTCTTTTAAAAAAATATATATATTTTTAATTGTCATAAAAAGGACGGTAAATGTATAATATATATAACTTTTTTTTTTTACTTCTATTAAACTTTTATCAAATTAATATTTATTTTCCCCTAAATGTCTAGAAAGGTGCAACACTGTGTTTTAGATAATCAGATTATCTAAAACACATCTGTGATTTTCTGCATCTAAAATACTTCTCTTTTTTTCCCCCTGTGTTTACCGAGCAGGCGGAACACCGGACGCATCGGCCTCCCATTGGCTGTGAGCCTTTAGAAACACGGAAGTGACGTCAGAGCAACCACACAGGGACAGTTTCGGTATTTACAGAAGAGCCTGTCCCACATGCGGCGGACTGGGAGTTCACGGCGCCCTCCGAACCGCTCGTCCCGCAGAGAACACCGCAATGGCGCCCCTGTCTCGGTCCCTTCCGTCTCTGGTGAAACACACGGAGTGTCTGTGGAGAGCGGGTCTCTTCCGTAGCCTCATACCCAACCACCCGCTCAGGTCTGGCTGGTGGAAGAGGAATTTCAAGGCAGTCTCCTGCGGAGGAGCCGGCGTCCAGCCGCTGTTCCAGCAGCGCGGAGCCAAAAACTGCGCAGCATCTGCGAGCAGCAGCTCTTCAGAGGGTCAGGACCCGACAGAGAGGCTGTGGTCCGTCTACAGTGAGACTAAAAGACAGACAGAGGGTATGCTGCTCTAACATCAGTATCTTAAATACAATAATACTCTAGCTTTGTGACGCTGATCTAACGAACCGCCTTACAGCTTTGCTTTGAGAGCCTCTGTGAAGAGAAGTTATGTCTACTGTTATGAAGGCAAAATATCACAAATCTTAAGTGTTTTTTGATAGTTTCTTTGTCCTTTCTGTATTTTTTTTAGGGTTTGTGGACAGTTTTTAATTGAAATCAAATTTAACTTACATCATTTGTCGACCAATGTTTCAAAAATAAAACGTATCAGCAAATAAAATTCAATGTAGTCATGGGCGTTGGACCATTTTTTGGCATCACCTTGCACGAAGGGCTGTCATTCATTTCTTATAAATAAATGTTATTTATAATGACACAGACTTGCCCCGAACTATTACTGAGCACTGCCGGTCAGCAGGCATAAAAAGAAACTTGAATCCCAAAAAGAGGCATTTGTCTGTTTGGCAGCATTTCTGTATTTCAAACTAGAGAACAGATCATCCATTTTTTTATATTGTTGATGTCTGCTAAAGTGCCTTGTTGGATGAAATTAAAGCATTTTTTAAAATTGTCATAAAAATTCTGACAATATAATTTCTTTTTCCTCTTAGTAATATCCACCAGCGCCGTTGATCCCGACACCATTTTTGCAAACAATGAGATGAGCCTACGAGACATCGAGATCTACGGCTTCGACTACGACTACACCCTGGCCTTCTACTCCAGCCACCTCCACACACTCATCTTTGACATAGCGCGGGACATTCTCATCAACAACCACCGGGTGAGGCGCCTGACGGGGTTGACTGCAGAAAACAAAAGTTTAAAGGAAATGTACAATAAGGGGTTCTAATTATTTGTGTGACCACAGGATTTGACTAAAATATTAAGAATCTGGAAACATTCTTCCCTGTTTCATTCTCTAGATGACAGATATTTGAATTTCAAAAGATAAATAAAGTCAGAAAATATAAATATTAAATTAACAGGAACCCTGTATTGTGGGTTTTCTAAATTTGTTTTAAAGTTTAACTCGGGCTTCTCAATATCAGAAAAGCATCTAATTGCAATTCTTTTTCTGAATACAGTGATGTCGGTATTGATTAAGAATAACCCACATTGTTTTTGTTTGTTTTTTAGCTCTTTTCTTTGTTGCCCATGCAGAATTTGAAACATAGTATGCAATCAAATATTGCATCCAAGAAGTTTTTTTTGTGTGTGATTGTGATACTGACACAGTGCGAATCAAATTTGAAGTATTGTGCAGCTCTTGTTTAGACCGGGATGTCACCTCATATGTTACCTGTATTAGAGTTGTGTTAACCACTGTTGTCACCTTGAACTTTGTATGATTATTAGTATCCAGAGGATTTGCGGAAGTATGAGTATATTCCAGATTTTGCAGTAAGAGGGCTTCACTACGATGTCCAGAAGGTGAGAGAAAGTTCTCTGTAAAATCGTAAGGATCGGCTAAAGATGGAGTTGCCGTGTTAAAATTATTGATCTGATTTGCGACAGGCACTCCTGATGAAGATCGATGCCTTTCATTACATCCAGCTGGGAACTGTGTACAGGTATTTTCCTCGAGTGTAGAGGGAAATCTTAACATTTATTTGCTTGATGGTTTTAGGATAGGAAGTTTTTCTCATGTCACAAAGAGTAAAGGGTTAAGATTTTCAACATACGCGTGTCTTTATAGGAAATAAAAATCTAAGATATTACCAATAAATCTTTTCAGAAAAGGTTGTTGAGTCAAGGCTGAAACGATTAATCAGAGTAATTGTGATGAATCGATGATTGAAATAATTGTCAACTAATTTAGCAATCAATCACCCCGGACTCAAAAAAAGGCCTTTTGCTGAAAACACAACATTCTCAGGGCCATTAATTAAGCTCAAACCAAACAAAAACATATACATTTTGGATCTAAGGTTAAATAACACCTGTCTAAGCTAAAACTCCTTAAATAGATTTAGCTTCATCCAGTTCAACATCCATTATCTTACATGTTTGTCCCTAGTGGGTCGCAAGGTGTTCTGGTTCATATCATAAAATTCCGAAGAAAAAAAAGCAAAACAAAAAAAAATTCCCAATAAGCATTTTTTGCTATCCACTTATTAATATGTTCATCAACAAATTAGCCCTACATTGTATTTATATCATATCAAGCAGATAGAGCTGAGATTTTCACATGTTGATGCTAGAAGTATTTTTTAGTTGCAGATGCATTCTTTGCTACAAATGATCAAGCGTACACTGAAAGAATGCCACGGTGTTGCATGTAACGCAATAAAGTTAATATTTAAAAAACAAGTTGAATTATTAGTTCATCTGCATAGTTTATTGGATTTGAGATGGTATATTGACGGGCCAATTTATTTATCTGATTAATCCTCAAAATAATTAATAAAATAACCGATTACTAAAATGACTCTTTTTTTTTTTTTTTCTGCAGAGGTCTTCATCCAGTGCCTGACCAGGAAGTCATTGCCATGTATGAAGGCTCCCATGTTCCTCTTGAGATTATGAGCGACTTTTATGGCAAGGTGAAGCTCATTTGCACACTTTCTAGCTCTTAGCTGAGCTGCTGTAGCCTCAAATGTACACAGTGATGATGAGCGCCTGTCCTGCAGAGTACACATGGCCACACCATGAAGCAGTTCATGGACATATTCTCGCTGCCGGAGATGACGCTCCTGTCTTGTGTCAACGACTTCTTCATGAGGCACAACATCGATTACGAGCCAGTCCATCTCTACAAAGACGTAAAGGTAAATGCGCCTCGTCTTGGTTGCATCATTCTTTCTATCCATGGTTGCATCTGCGGGTGCCGGCGTCTGTCTGTATTTAGAATGCCACCATGCAGTGCATTTCAAAACAATTGAACATTTCTGTGTTTTTTTTTACATTACAATTGTGTACATCAGTGAAGTGAGATGAAAATGATTATGAATGTGGTTTCATAATCATTTTATGGTTATGTGCAGGGGTTGTGCACATGTTTATTCAGCCTTCATGAGGAAATTCTTTGAAGGGCCATCTTTCTCCGTCAATTCCAGCCGCAAACGGTGAGGGTTGTGCCTCCCTCCAGCAGCTTCGCACATATTTCTTTATTTCGTCCTTGCAAAATAGCTAAATTCACTCAGATCAGATGGATGGTATCTGTAAAAACAGATATTCAAGTCTCGCCACCGACTCCGAGTTGGATCGTAACATTTTGATCTCTAAAGTGTCCATTGTGCTGTTTGCTTGGGGTTGTTGCAAAGCTTGAAGAGGAAAATCTTCATGCTTTCCGACAGGCTTTCTTCAGTTTTCTCTGAATTTATCTTTTCATCAAAAAAAGGGAAGAACCTCATAGAATAATGCTGCCACTACCATTTTCCTGCAGGGAAGAAGTTGTGTTCACTCAGTGTCAGTTTCCCACCACAGATGGCCTTTTCATGTTGGTCAGTATTGGCTTACTGTGACACTCTTACACATTTTTCTGACATTTATAAACATTATATTCTTTATCACACTACTCTGTGTTTGTCACAGATTCACAAAATAATTCTAAAACGCATTTAGGTTTGTGATTGTAATAAAAATATGTATAAAGCTTTAGGGGTATAAATAGCTATCCCAGACTAATAGTACTTGAGCGTTGCTGTACTTACACGTTGCAGCTCTCTGCGACACTCCAGCCGTCCTGTGCCGTCTTAATTTTAGCACGGCTAAAAATCACTGTCTAATTTTAGACGAGCAATTTCCCCACCAGCCACATGGCTCTGCTACTTCACAGGAGGAACGGTGAGAAATCAACGCCGTGTTTTCCTTCTGAGGCCTGCTGTCATGCTGCTGCTGTCTGTTCTCAGTGACGCTAAAGCATTTTTTTGACAGATAGCTGTCATTAAAAGCTCCACACACACACACACACACGTGTGCTGTGTTTGAAGAATCCCTCTCATCTTTTCAAGGACGCCCTCCTTAATCTCTTTCTTGCCTCCCGCTTTATGATTCAGTTTTGACCTTTTACGTTTTTTGAAACTTTTTGCTCTTTTAAATGTTTTATTGCGTCAGCTAGTCTTTGAATATGATGGAGGTTTTAGGTTTCCCCACAAGTGTATGCGTGTTTTTTGCAGAGTCGTCGGTTCAAAAGTTTTCTCGCTGTGACAACAGAGCTCCGAAACTCCGGCTTTCTTCCTGTTTCATTTGTATTCAAGAACGACTTCTTGCGCTTCAAGCAAACTGTTTATTTACAGAGTAAAGTTGCTGTCAGAGCTGAATGCTAATTGTGTGTCACTGACTTTCTGGCTGAGTGCTGTTTGCTTTTCTTCCTCGCAGGAAGCTATCAGAGATGTCCATGTCAAGGGCATTATGTATCGAGCTGTGGAGGCGGATATTGGTAACATTCCTTAACACATTTCCTTTTGTTTGAGAAATGATACTGCCTTATCTCAGAAGGTGCAAACATATCGTTTCAGCATTGAGAGGTCATGCTTTTTAAACAGAAAGCACAATAGATTGGTACTATTGACCCCTCTTTTTTCTGTTTTCTTTTTTTTTTTTTTAGGAAAATACATTTGCTATGGTGAGCAAAGCCATGCTGTGTTGAAGAAGCTGTCGGCGCACGGAAAGAAGATGTTTCTCATCACCAACAGCCCTTTTGATTTTGTGTGAGTAAGATTAAGCCATGTTTGTTCACGGCGAGTAATGTTTTGCTGTAGTAATGTTGAATTTATGGAGTTGTTTTGCAGTGTTCATAGAGTTCCAACAGCTACCCCGTTTTTGTGGATTTTTGTATTTTATTGGAATTTTTTGAGTGGCGCTTAATTGTGAAGTAGAATTAAAAGCGTGCATTGCATTCAAATCTGAAAAACTGAAACGTTCACAGTTCCAATCTTCAATCTGATACTCCTGAAATTTGTAAAGTCATTTCCCTTCAATAGTGACTTATTTAATCAATAGGTGTGCATAATTTAATCCCAGTATAAAGGAGTTTGTTAGCAAGCATTAATGAACAAACAACATCAAAAAGAAGGAAAAAACATCTGGAATGAAGAAGTTTATAGCTTAAGACCAAAATTGAGGGTTTTTTTTTTTTTTTTTTTTTTTTTTGCTTACGTGCAAAACATAAAAAGCTAACACTTCACATTAAGAAAAACATCATCTCCATGCTGAGTCATGGGGGATGACATCATCACATAGCTGCTTCTCTTCAGGAGGTTCAGGGAAGCTCAGAGTTGGCTGATGAATGATCTAAATACACATCAGACTAGGAAGAAAACTTGAACCGACAGCGCTCCAGTCTCAAAAGGTTCAGCGGGTTTGAATACTTTTGAGAGGCACCGTGTGCAGCGGGCCTCACACATCAGAGTGCCAATACTTACTATTCTGCACACTTTCGCATCGACCATGAAGTCCTTTGAAGTCAAAGCTGTGTGCACAAATTGAGCAGTTGGGAATTTGAGCTTCAAAAGATTATCTAAAGCCCAAAAGCAATGAAGCGATGTCCTTGTTTTAATATTAAGTCATCAAAGCAATAAGGAGGGAGATGAGTACACACACTGAAATTAGTCGATTCTTAAATATTTATTAATGGCGTGTTTCAAATTGCTATGTAAATGCAAGTTTTGATGAATGAAGTTTAGAGCACACGCTCAACACATTTTCCAGCGGGCGGTGGGGTTGGCGGTTTGTTCCAACATACATCTTCAGGCGTCTTTGGAAAACGAGCTCAATCTGTAATTTGCCTCAACAATGTAGGAATTAGCTTGGAAAGCAGGGCATGTAAGTAAGAGGAAAAACTGCTGCAAAGATGGCCAAATGGTACTGCAAAGTGGCCAATTAGGATAAAAAAGAAAAAACACACACCAGTAAAGTGCAGTATAACTACTGTCATTTCTGTAAATGTATGTAGTTTGTGTCTAACTGCTGCATGTTCTCCAGGTTTTGTACAAATAGATGAAACGCCCACACCGAGCCGCAGAGAAGCGGTTGCTGATGTGCCATAGGGTAGAAAAAGCTATCGATTAGGGAGGAAATATTGTCACCCCTCTATGGTCTGCTTTAAAGCTGGGCTGGCCCTAAATATTGATGTTTAAATTGATAAAATGTGCTCTTGTAAAAGCTGTGACACAGAAAATACTATGGCAAGCATAGAATTTTCTGCCTTAGAAAATACTATGCTCTTCATTCTCGCGCCACTGAATAAAATCTGTTTTGTCTTTCACACTCTACCACAGCCACACCGACTGTTTATAATGCACTTTAGAAACAACAGGCACTGACCAAATGCTGAACAAACAAAAATGATGAAAATAAAACCTTTGAAATTGAAACAAAAATGATACAAAAATTAAACTTTTGAACTTGAAACAAAAGAAATGATTAAAAGGAGACATAAAAGATTGATGGTCACTGCCACTTTTTGATAATACAAGTTTCGGAGAATCTTCCTACAGTTTGAAGGTCTTTGGCTTGTTCCTAAGTGCTGCATGTATGGTTCAAAGGTCACGTCGTTTTGATTGTTTCTTACCTGGATTTATTTTGGGATAGGAAACAGAGCGCACCTTCATGAGATTTTCTTCCGAACATGTTCATAGGGGGACAAGACACTTCGATAAACAACAATTTAAGGTCATTATTTCTACACTTTACTCATATTCTACCGTATGGAAATATTGTCAATGACCATCTAGTGATGGTTTAGGTATTAGACATCAAGTTATTTTAGTTTATAAAGAGATGATTGAAGTATTCCCAACGCTACAGACTCAAAGTTTCAGTCTTCAAGTCTGTTTCAACATTTTTTCTTGTCTTTAGCTATAGAAAACTCACATTGGATGTATAACAAAAAAACTGCATATCTGGTATTGTGAATACAGCCTGCAAGGTGAGTGGCAGCAGTGTTTGTGATGAGAAGCCAGCAGGAAGTGAAGGTCAGTTTTAGCCAGCAGCAAACTTCCTTTAAGAATAAATTTGTTCTCCCTTCTTTTGAGGTGAAGACCAAATAGGGCAAAGTTCAGTAGATATGGTCTCTTTTTGTTCTCAGGTGTAATAAATTAACAGAATCAACTCAACCCTCCTAGATTTATATGAGGAACCAAAAAAAAAAAATGGATTTTTTTGGTTCCTTTTTTTTTAGCTTAACTTGGTGTTGTTTTCTGGCAATATTGTTTAATTTGTCTTACGTCCTTATTTATTTTCTTTTACTGGCATATTTTTTCACTTTATGCCTCTTTATAGCAGATCCAGTTTGAAGTTGAGATCTCTACGTGCTTCAGGCATCTTATCTTTTGACTATCTCTGCATAATACCTTCATGTCTCAGTCTGTGGCTTTCAAAGCGATAAACTGTCTTCCCTGCTGTCTTTTAGCCTTTCTTCTTCACGGTACCTTAAAATCAAAGGTACTAGTAGTGAAGTAATAACAATGTTGCAAGAGATGGTAGTGAATAAAAAGTTGTGCCAGTACATCTAAGCAGCTATTTCCCGGCTGTTTTGTTTTCATAGGTCGACACACACTGTGGTCCGTGTGTCTGTGAAAAAATGTTAGTGATGCAACTTGACCAGCACTGTGACCATGTACTGCTTACTCCTCCTCACACCTGGAGGTATCTATAGACTCTCATCCCAAGTGATCCTTGTTCTCATCAGGGATCGTGGAATGAGCTACATTGTGGGAAAAGACTGGAGAGACTTGTTTGACGTCGTTATTGTCCAGGCCGATAAACCCAGTTTCTTCAACGACAGAAGAAAGTAAGTATTTTCTCTGAGCGGCTTCTCCTGTGTTCTCATGAATATATGATTGTTCTGCTTGCTGTTGTTTGGACTGTTTCTAACTGAGCTATTGACAATTTGCACTTTCTGCTTTTCTTCCGCAGACCCTTCAGGCGGGTGACAGACAAAGGTGTGTTACTGTGGGACAGGATTCACAGGCTGGAGAAAGGGGAGATCTACAAGCAGGTACTGCGTCTGAAAATTCATATTTTATACAGTCTAAAAAACTGCAATTAACTCCAATTTTAGAGCGTTTTACTAACTCAGTGTTTGGTCAAATGTGAACTGATGCATAATTTAGCACTTTGTCGATATTGTCAATAGATGAGTTCAACTGTATACTGGTTAAAATGAAGACTATGTTGAAAAGAATCATTCTTATCCTGGATTACTGTAAACTTATATAGTTTTGAGTTTAAGTTTGCATTAAAACCGACCAATTTGATGAAACCTCGTCTTTAATCTCTTGGGAATGACCAATAAAGTAATAAAAGTTAAATTTGGGATAATTTGTCAGCCATAGGCAGAGAATCCAGCATTCAGAGAGAAGTTTGATAGAATATTTATTGAATTATGAGCTGAATTGTCTTAATATAACATGAACACGCTGCACTGTCTATGTTGCCTCTATTAGCTCATGCTTACTATTCATTTGTTCTTTTCCACTTCCATTTTTGTATTTGTTACATGAGCTATTCATATTTATTATTAAGGGAATGAAATAAACAATGGACATGGAAATGCTAACAATTTGGCAACTAGAAGGCAAATGTTTTCTTCTGTGAAAACGATCGCTGACATTTCTGCGATTGTTCATCATCTTTCTATTCTGTATTTGATATAGTGCAAGAGGTTCAGTGAAATCTGATGAGGTCGTTCTTTACTTCTCAGATTTCTGATCCAGTGTCTCGTTAAAACCGTCCAACTTCACTCCCTAAAGGATTTGGCTCAGAGAAAAAATCCAGCAGTTTCTTGTGTGAATTTCCTGCTGTGGCCACATGCATTGATATAACAGTTTCATTGTTTTATTTGATATATATATTTTTTCTTTTTCTTTGCTCTACAGGGAAACCTCTACGAGTTTCTCAGACTCACTGGCTGGAGGGGATCCAAAGTGCTTTACTTTGGAGATCACATTTACAGTGACTTGGCAGTAAGCTTCATCCACACACATTTGATTTAATTTTAGCTAATTTTATCTACACAGACTGTTGCTGTTTGGGATTTGAGCAAAAAGAGGAGTCTTGTTTTACCACAGAGAAGTGTGTAATCCTCCAAGCTGAAAAGACAGATTCTGGCTGTTTAATCTTCCCTGTCGTCCACGGCCCATATTTACCATTCCATTCAATTTTCTGCCGTTCACAATAACACCCCTGCGGGACTCTGGGATTATCAGATAAGATTCAGAAACGTTGCCGACACAAATGCAGGAGCAATCAGCTCATTATCAGTGAAGACCAGAGAGGTTCATGAGGAGCAGCACAAGTTAACGTCGAATCTCAACCGAGCAGACCTGTTTAACCAAAAGCTGGAAATTAACTAATTACATCCCCATGTTTGTGGTGTGCTGCTGTGCACCACACCCAAAACACAGTATACGCTTTAACATCGTCACCTGTTCAGGTACTTGGCATGTGTTCAAGTCATCAGAGCGATGAAAATTCAGTCAGGCATTCGTCCTGCAGCCAGTAGGCTGCCAGTTTGAATGGGTGAATGACTTTACTGTTCAGCTACGTAGGCCTGTCACAATAAACAATAAATCAGTTAATCACACGATAGATTAAAAGAAACTCAGAAATTTTCATTGGCTTCATTTATTGTTTTTCTCTCTTTTCACCAAAAGCCGAATGATGAAAGTCTTCAGTCTGGCGTTTTGTCTCAAAAACAACAAAAAACAAGAAACTATTTTTCTTTTTTTGAAAGATAATTTTGTTTGCAGAGACTTCGTAATTTATGTTATTTGTTGTTTCTGTGGTTTTCTTTATTTATTTTGGATATTCCACATGTCTTCCAGTTCCAGTGTTTAAAACATTCATTAGAATTGAAATGTATTGATCTTTGAGAACGAGTTCTTGGATTTTTATGCGTTTATTATCATTATCTTACTCGAAACTGCTCTCAAAACAACAATATTATCATTCATTGCAATAAGTTCTGGGACAATTTATCGTCCAGCAAAATTTGTTATCACGACAGGCTTACAATTACAGGCCATTTACTATTTTCAAGACGTTCTATTTGGTTTGATGTTGGATGAAATTCCAGAAAGAATACCAAAAAGAGGAAAACTGCTGTTCCACACCGCGTTTTGGCGTCCCACGTGGCCCAGAAATTTTCTGATGGTGTTGGCAAAAAGAATGTTCCTGTGATAACATCACAGGAACAGATTGCAGTGTACAAGATAAAATAGTAAAGCAACCAAGCAAGAACACAAGTAAAGGTTCAGTTTATATGGGCGTTTTTCTCCTGCTGGTATTTTTGATGAATAATAGAGATAAAAAATAATCAGAATGTTGAAATCTTTTGCTGAACATAATTTCTGAGCCCTCTCAGAGTGCGCACACAGCGCATTTTCGAGCCTAAAAGAGATAGAGTGCCTAGGTGGTTACTGACTTTCTGCAGAAGAAGAAGATAAGACTTGTCTTGGTGTTACAAACATATTTGCAGCTCCTGGGAAAGAAAACAAAATGGACTCACCACTGTAGCAGGTTAGGGTGTTTAATTTCTGCTATGGATATGAAGCAAAGCCATTGTTTTGAGTGAGCTGAACATTGCGGCTTTGTAATGCTTTTCTAAAAAAAAAATTGACATGACTGTGTCACAGTTAATGGCACTTTTTTTTTCAGACAACAAGAAAAATTGTAATCATTTATCTTGTGGAAAAAAGTAATGAAAACACAACAGCATGACTTTCACTCCTAAGGCGACACGTTTTTCATCTCTCCAAAACCTTTTCCCTCGTGTTGTTGGCCGTCGTGTTTTCCTCAAAGGCACTTGAAGTGAAACATAGTCACGTCCCAACTTGGAATCGTGTTAAAACATCTTCTGTTTTCAGAATTTGGGGGTTAGATTATTACAGTATGCGTCGTTCACTTAAACGTGTGAAATAAAAAATGCCACATCCCGATTTGCATAGATAACTGCGTCCACTCTGACAAATTGTTAACTGCGTGTTTGGAAAAAAAAAAATTGTTTTGACTAGAACTCTTTAGAGGAAGACTGGGACCCTGCAGACTTAATAAAGTTTTTATTATTATTTTATTACTAAAAGTACAAAGCTTTACTAACGCTGGTCCTGATTCCTTCTGCTAACTGACGCACAAACTGAGACTCTAGCTCAATGTTTGAAATGGAGTAATGGACACTAAAATGCATTATCTCCTGTTTATTTTATCTGCGCAAATTGTTAAATGTCAGAGCGTCAGTATCACTCCACTTTATTCAATTCTTATTTCTAAAAGCGGCTCGTTTGTCACTGCCAGGCCAACTTCTGCCAATATATTATTTGGAATCGCAGGGTTTAAGTGCTTCGGAGATGTGTTTATAAATATGCATGATCAGCTGTGAAGAGTGATACTGAAAGAAACAATTTACATCACTGGCATGAAGCCTGCTCGGTGGCCAGCAGCCATGAGTCAATTATGTTGTCGAGCTTGTTTAGAGCAATAGAAGTTGACATTTGTGGTTTATACTGACCACAACTTACTGTCAGACCCCCTGGATGGAGAGAAGGAGATAATGGCTGTAAAGAGGCACAGTGGAGAAATGTCTTCAGGTTACGGCAGAGTTGATTCAATTACACAAAAATGCTCTCCAACTGCGTCTCAGGTATTTTTGAGTATCTCATCAGATCCCATACCAGCTGAAAATGTGTCTATTGACATTTCCTCTTAAAGTTTACCTAAGCATTATGTCGCCACTTTACTGTTTTGTAACAAATTTCTTGCAATTAATTGGCGCAGCTCACATGCTTTTGACTCAACTTTGATTTTCTTCAGGATTTGACTCTGAAACACGGCTGGAGGACAGGCGCCATCATCCCCGAGCTGCGGAAGGAGATAAAAATCATGAACACGCCGCAGTACGTCCACATGATGACCTGGTTGCAGGCGCTGACCGTACTGATTGAACAGATGCAGGTCAGACGACCATTGCAAACATTCGATTTCATCTTCTTATGCTGCCCCGTGTTTCCTTCTTTCATTTTAACGTGCACGGGGTTTTGTCTAAACAGGCGCACCGGGATCCAGCGACCCAAGCTGTCGTTGAGGAGTGGATCAAAGAAAGAGAAGCCATGAAGTAATCTAAGACGGATTTGATCTGAAAAGATTTGGCTTTAGCAAAAAAAAAAAACAAAAACCCTGCATTATTAACTTGGCTGCAGTAGGAAGTGCCCACGTCTTAATTGCGTTTGTTTTCGTGGCAGGCCGCAGACGAAGGACATCTTCAACGCTCAGTTCGGCAGCCTCTTCCGCACCTACCACAATCCCACCTACTTCTCGCGCCGACTCTCCCGCTTCGCCGACATCTACATGGCCTCCATCAGCTGCATGCTCAACTACGACCTCCAGCACACCTTTTTTCCTCGACGCACTCCTTTGCAGCACGAGGCGCCCTTTTGGCCGGAACAAAATTCTTCTGGATTTGGGGTCACTTCTTCTTCTCCTCCTCCTCCTCTAACGCCTCAGGACCGAAGCAGAGTCTGATCACACAGGAAAGTGTAAGAGTTAAAGATTGAACGGTCAATCTCTTAATTTAATGCTTTAAGAAGTGTATTTTAGAAGTAGTTTGTATTTTAAATGTGCATATGTCTTTTTTTTTCTTTTTCACCTCAACTGTGTTCAGGCTTGTAGATCATGAGTGATCTTCAATTCCATGTCTAAAGTATCAAGCAAAATAATGCGAAAGAAACAAAACAAGTACATTTTAACTGTCGCACCTACCACAGTTAAAAACCCTGGTAGGTTCTTCTGTCAAAGAATATTGTTCTGAGGACACATGCTTTCTTCATACTCAAACTCTATAAGTCAACCCACAGCTGATTTTCTCAGAGGAGCGTGTTGTTTGGCTGCAACAAGTCTCCAATCTAAAATGATCAAATGCTCTCTCCTTCATTTGGCTCACACACAACAGAAAGTGGAGTGGCTTTAGTTGTGTCCGTGCTTATGCTAGTGGTTGAGCCGCATCATAAATTGTGTTGTGTCCAGGTTCTTTCAGGGCAGTATTATGTAAAATCAACCTTTTAAAGCTTTATGTCATATTATAATGTTATTCCCTCATCAAATACAAAGCTAGAGGGTTGCTTTGATTCTTTCATGCATGTTTGGGAAATCTTTTAGCCTCCTGTGGCAGCCATTGTGGTACTCCCCCACACATCTCCTCCAGATTACTGCTCAACTGCTTAGCTCATCATAAAACTACCGTATTTTCTGCACTATAAGTCGCAGTTTTTTTCATAGTTTGGCAGGGGGTGCGACTTATACGCCGGAGCAATTTATGTGTGGAAATTAACACATCATTATATCATGTCACATGTTATTTTCACGCTAAACCGCAAGAGGACGTACAATATTCAGCCTATTGTTGCCTCTATTTTTATTGCCTTTCAAATTGACCTGTCTGTTCATGGTGTTGGATTTTATCAAATAAATTTCCCTCAAAAATGCGATTTATACTCCAGGGTGACTTATATATGTATTTTTCTTCTTTACTATGCATTTTATGGCTGGTGTGACTTATACTCCGCAGCGACTTATAGACCAGAAAATACGGTACTTCCCGAAGGCTTGATGGAGGAAGGTTTTTTTGATGTGCTGAAGGCAGACTATTGGAAAGAGCAGGAGCTTCTTAAAGAGACAGAGCCCCAATTCTCAAAATTGCAAAGTCAAATTTATTTTAAGTCATGTCTGATAAATACAGAATTCCTATAACAGCTGAAAGTAACATGGCTACTTGGTTGAGCTATGAAATCTCCCTACAAGCCTGGAGAATACATAATTGAGATTAAAAATTGTTTCCTAATCCTGGGGAGAAATTGTGGGACAGTTTTGGTGGGTGAGGAGAAAGTTTTCTTTTTCATCTACGTTTGCCCAGTTTTGCCCTCTCCATTGTTTTTCTGTGTTGCTCATGATCAGCCACACTTCCATCCGCCATCTGGCTACAGATGATATGTGGAAGCATGAGAGAATATGTGTTTTAAATCAACTTATGACGGAAAAGTGAATCATTAAGTTTCACGTGTTCAAGATTTTTCTTTTTCTTCTTTTTTTTGCTCTGACGTATATGCCCTTTAAAGTGTAACAGAAGTTCAAACTGTGGTTTCTTTAAACATGTTATTTATTTCAGTCCTTTCAGATTAATTGTCTTAAGAAGCACTGGCTCTATTTATTTTTAAGCCAAATGCCTGTGGGTTTATTTGTTTGTGTGTGTGTGTGTGTGTGTGTGTGTGTGTGTGTGTGTGTGTGTGTGTGTGTGTGTGTGGTGTGTGGTGTGTGTGGTGTGTGTGTGTGTGTAACTGAGAGTGGGTTAGATTTATTTAATAGAATAGATGGATTTTACCTATCTTGAGCAATAGGGGGCAGTCACACATAGGGCTTAACCTGCATTTGTGTTTCTGCCTTATTGTCTCTTGCCTTCCCTGGTGAAATGGGAGTTTTTACATTAACATTATATTACTCCATTGCCTTAATCTGTTGTTCATATTTCTGCAGGACGTGTCGTTTTTTTATTTGGCTGATATTATGCAGTATTTTGGTTCATTTGATTTTGTGCACGTTGACTGACGTATTAGGATCTGTTTTTTTATTATTGGTTTCGCCAATTTACACCAAATTCAGCCTGTATGTTTCATTTTAGACGATTGGTGGTCGATTATCGTTGTGGATGCTGCTGTTTCATAAAAGGATTTTTTTTTTTAATCTGAGGTTATGTGGATTTTACAAGAATAGGAAAATTTATTTCTTTACAAATCCTGACATAAAATCATGTCAAGCACTGATACATCATGTAAAAGGGATTCATTAAATAAACTTTTGGTGGCAATAACCTTTGCGTCGTAGTTTGTTGTGATTTGTTTGTAATTTTACGCGTCGTTTCATCATCAAAATGCTTCCTCTCCATTCTTTAAGTGTTTTCACTGCAGTAATTACATTCATCTTTGATTGCGTTGACTGAATATTTGTTAGGCTCTGCTCAAATATTTATATACTTTATATATTTGCTTATTTGTTCCTTCAAAATGGAAGCTTTTAAGTTTTCAGGAAAAAAAGTGTTGAGGTCTGATTGCTGTTTATCAGTCTTACAATTACAGCCCTGGGTTAAGGAGGTTTAATCCATGCTAATCGTGTCAAGAGTCAATTTCCCGTGTTGCTTTTGTTTTTATTTTTTGGGTGGGGCTTTCTCAATCAGACAGATGCACAACCTGAGATGTCAGACGAAACCATGTCAGCACGGTGTTTTCAGATTTTAACAACAAACTGGTGATAGCTGTGATGCTGAGGAACACGTCTCTCCTGCAGCCCATGAACATCTTGATCCTCATGATCGCCACACGTGGCTCGCTGGTCGCCACCGCCACAAACTACCAGGGATCCTACTTTGCAGGCCACGCTCCCTGTGTTTTCCAGGGATTTTCTGTGAATCACTTCAGTGTGTGGGGGAAAAAAGAGATCTAAAATATCCGTGTGTAGATTTAGGGAAGAAAAATCTTGATAAACCTCCAGTTTATCACTTATAAAGCTCCTACAGTCCCGAAGGCGTCCAGATGTCCTGCTCTCTGGCGTGGGAGGAGAGGTTGTGGAGCAACTACAGCTGCCTCAATCTGCACACACTCCTCTGTTTCATTGTACATGTTACCATCATCATCTACTCCCACTCCCATGTGCTGAAATTCTTGAGAAAGATGGACTTTGTGGATTTCACACCACTTACAGAGTACTTTTAAATCACTGCTTGTTCCACTCTTCTAAATTAAAATTCTAGGTGTTAATGAAGGCTCAAATGTCCTTTTCACCAGCTGACCAGGAGCCTGGAGCTGCAAGGCGGCCGTTCCAGGAAGAGTGAGGATGATCACGCCATCGCCGTGGTCCTGGCGATGATAACAGCCCTCTGTGTGCTGGCCGCCTTGCTCGGCCTTGTCAGCGATGGATCCAGAGCTGCGCGTTCCTCCTCTCATTACAACTCTGCCCATGTACTTTGTAAAAATCAGCCTGGTACACAACCCCATCATCTGCTTCTGTTCCAACAAACAGGTGAACAGGAACACTGTGCATTTGAGATGGTGGGGGGTGTTTTTTTTTTTTAATTGTCTACGCATTTTCCTGACAGCACAGGATAAATAAAGTGTGTGTGTGTGTGTGTGTGTAGGTGTAGGTGTGTGTGTGCGCGTGTTTACATCCACCAGTTCCGTGAGTGTGTTGTCGTGCAGGCGTTCTGTTCCCAGAGGCCCCGCCGGCGTCAGCATCCCTCTGAGCTCCTTGAACAGGGGGAGCTGTCTGTCTTCCAGGAGCAGGAGCGCCAGCACGCGTAGCAAGGTGTTGCCTCTGTGACTTCTCCGCAGCCAAAACAAACAAGGTGCCATTGTTGACAGCGATTGTTGGCGCCTTGTCAAGGACACGGAGTGGAGAACGGGTGATGTGTGTGTGTGTGTAGGGGGGAGGGGGTGAAATTTACAGGGAAACTTTCCAAAATGTGCGAATGCTTTGCAGCTGTAGCTCACTGAATAGAAGTGTTTTTCCGAAAAGTTTGTTCATTTTGGGAATTCAGTCTGGAAAGTAAAACTCATGCATGATTAAAGGCCTATTTTTGGCCATGTTAAGGAAAGCTACCATATGTAACCTTTACAAAAAAATGTTTCTTTTTCACACATTTGTTCATACTGTTACCATGTTGTGACAGTGCAATATGAGAGATAATCTGTGAAAAGATTGAGTTTCTCCACCTCCTGACTGAGCTGCTATGGCCGTCCGCAAAAATGCACCGCTCCCGGTCAAAAACGACCAATCAGAGCCAGAGGGAGAAACAACTCACCATTCCAGGAAACCTGTTTATCCGTCATCATCGGTGACCATGCTAACTAGACTGAGCATCGACAGCTGCAACATGGCAGAGAGCAAGGGGGAGGGTCTTAGCTTGATTGACAGCACTAAGACCCTCCTCCTGGCTCTGATTGGTTGTTTATGAATCAGCAGTGGATTTCTCCACATCGGAGCAGGACCATAAGGAGAAGACACAGGAGCTCAATTTTTTTCACATTTAAATACATCTCATGTAGTTTTAATAAACATGTGAAAAACAAGATTTGTAAAAAAAAAAGAAAATAATAATTTCTTATAAAAGCTTTAAAGTGGTTGAAAACTCAAAATTCAGTGTCTCAGAAAATGAAAATAAAAGGATATTCAGAGCAGAAATGTGTTCAGTACCGTTTACGCATTCAGTACTTGGATGGTGGAAACTGCTGACTTTACAGATGTTTTATGCCTTACCCTCACGGAGTTCAGAAAGCCACAAAACATCATTGCCAAAAAGCCGTCTGTCCGTAAAGTGCTGTGTCCAAGCAAATTAGTGAAAGCTTGAACTGAGGGGGAAAAGTGTGCTGTTGAAAGCCCGTTGAAGAGCCGTCCCACATGCAGGATACGTCTGATGCATTCATGTTATCTCGTTCCTGTACCTGAGCAGAAATGTCTTACTCTGGATTAAGTGGAGAGAAAAAAAATATCCTGTTTCAGATGAAAGTTTTTCATTTGAAAATGTATTTTCTACAGCAGGTGAGGATTCGAGGGACAATGTCATCTGCTGATGTTGGTCCGAGGTTCTTATCAAGACCAAAGTCAAGACATTTTGGAGAACTTCATGCCTCCCTCTCTCAGCTACTGATTTCATTCTCCAGGCCTCGGCGCCTGCTTTAATGACAGAGGTATCATTGGGTTTGACTGCTCTGCAAACGCATCTGACTTGAACCTCAACGATCAATGCAAACCAGATAAATGCCAGCGCAGCAGAACTGATCCCCCTCCCAGTCGGCCTCAAAGGCCACAAGGGATAGAAAGGAATTCATGCAAAACAGAGCAGACAAGAAGCACTAATGGTACGGCAGCACTCTATTTGTTCTGATCTTTTTCTCATCAAAAAAATAATTGTGTTGGCCTTAACAATTCAAATGTCTTAGAAAATGACTTGTGCTTTAATCAGCTGTAAGGCACAAACCCAAAACTAAACAAAAGCAAACGATTGAAAGGAAATGATCAGTTTCACGTTTAAAGATATTGATTTTGCACATATTTATCAAGGTTGCACATACAACTGGAAACAGGTTTGTTTTGTTTTTGCTTAGACTCTCTTTGTAAAAACGACTCTTCGTTTGCCAGTTCCATGAATCACATCACGCCACCGGGTGCTCTTGCTCTTCTTTGTCTATTTAACAGTGGGACGTTCTCAAGTGAAGACTATTTAATTTCCCTGATTTGTTTGGACACACGCTGCGCTGAAAGAAGACACAAAAAACACTGAATGGTGTGAGCTGTCGCTGTCGTCTGTGATTTTCCATTTGTGTGCATATTTAATGAGAGCAAACAAAGCCATCGCAGCCAGACAAACGGGAATGAACTGAAACCTTCTTTTTTCTGAAAACGCAAAGGTACCTGGTTTCATTCCCTGTGTGAAGCTCTATTAAGAAAAAGAGTTTCACATTTTTAGATTGTGTCGCATCTGAAAGCCTCTCTTAAGAGCTATTAATGTAAGAATACAAAAAAAAAAAACAACTAATAAAGAGAAAAAGATTAGAGTCAGCAGAAATCAGCTTCGCTCTCTGATCAATACTTACAGAAAGGTGCAGCACTGCATTTATGGTGATTACATCTCAATACTTGCGAGCCAAACTATAATTTCAACCGTATGCAGGAAAAAAAAAAGCAATTCACCTTTTCACTACAAATCATGTGAACAGAACTGAACCTTTAATCAAGTCCAACACTCTGAAGCCTCACTTCGTCCAGGCTTCAGCGGTGAAGTGACAGAGACGTCATCTGTTGTGTTTCCGAGTCTGTCCTCGCATTTAGTCGGCAACGCTCATTCGAATCCGTTGTGTTTTTAGAAAGTCGGATTTAATTTGAAAGCCCCAAAATATCCAATTGTCTCAGACGTGGAATGACGAAACCGTCTGCGAAGATTGAACCGTCGCTGAGTGAGAAAGGAAAAAGTAGATCCTCGAGAAGTCTTAAAATAAGTCCCCTTTTACGGCATAATCCTAATCCAGGAGAGCGTGAACATCTCAATCTCTTTGTGATCATTTCCACTGAGCTCTATAACGATGATCAAGGCTGACAGTCCTCTTAACTCGTGTTTCAGTGACAAACTTTTCCAAACTTGATTTAATCTAACCTCTGTCAGATTAAAAAACGTCTAACAGAGGTTCATTTTTAGACGAAGATGCAACATGGATCAGGTATATGCATATATATATATTCAAAAACCATCAGCCTTTTGTGCTATTAGAGTTATATTTAGACATTTTAAATCAGCTGGAGCTGTGATGCAAGAGGTTGGACAAACACGATAAGCTGGATTTTTGGTTAAAAAAAGAAAAACAACCTCTGAAGCAGAACAGCATCCTGTTGCAACCGAGTCAGCTCAACAATACTGAGATGCTGTCTTCATGCTAAATCGATTCGGTGGGTAACCATGGTAACCTTTTAGGAGTGGCATCATTCATCTTTCCAAATAGGAAATTTTAAACAACATGATCTGGCGACCTCCGTTAGAAAACTCAGCACGGATCATTACCGGGCTTTTCAGCAGGATAACGATCCAAAAACACGTGGCCAGATCAACGCGGGCCCTCTTCTACACACAGGATTAGATTAGCCTCTCAGAACCGAGGAATGCGGCAGTGATGGTGGAGGAGGGTGCTGCTTTTTGTCGCGCTGGCGTGAGGAGATTTAGGTCAAACAGTCTGTGACCTCTTCCAGCGTGAGAGAATTAGCTGCGCCGGATCTTCAGACGTCCAGATATTTGAAGTGGCTCTTTATTGGGAAGTGTTGGTTTGATGTTGTCAGCGTTGCTCCCGCTTCTGCTTCCTGCAGAAAGAGTGGATGGAGCTGGGTTTATAATGAAAGCTGCATCTTTTAATTCTGCACATATCACGTTTCGGTTCACGCAGTCGTGATGTTACAGCGAGATGGAAACAAAATGAAAGGCAATTTATTTTCCAAGAGTTTTAGTTTTTTTTGTCAGAGATTTCTCCTTGGCGTAACGTTCGGGATGGTCCGGACTGTATCTTATTGTGATAATCTAATCCCAGATTTATCACGGCCCATAAGCTTCCACATTTGAAGCAAAGAGCATTTCACACTATATCTCCAAACAGGATTACAAAAGATGCAACCATAATCCTGCAGCATTGCTCCCACTCTTAACTCGTCCATCTGGCATCACCATTGTCAGGCCCCCAACCTTCCTTAAATTCAGAATCAAATTAAACGGGCAGCCGATCATGTGCTCGTCACAGGGCTTCAGCAACTTGCAAAGGTTCTTACACCCCTAGAATGTTTGGCATCGCTTTATTTGACGGGGTGTGCATAAGACACTGACGTAACACCTGTCACGAACGTGAAGGAGTCCTTATGAATGTTTACGACTGTTGTCATGAAGGGTCAATTGCAAATAATGACACTTTTATTGCAAAGTTGTATTGAAAGTTGCATTAAAAGACCACTAAAAATTACCAACGTCGCATTATTTGGTAAATATTTATCAAATGACCCTTCATGACAGCAGTCATAAACAAAATCACATTTGCACCTGCTTTATTAACATTGACCATCAATGTTTTCCACATCTAAAAAGCATAGCAGGCTAATGTTTTCAGTTCTCTTTACTCGGACAATCAAAACTTAGATCCAGCCACAACCAATTGCCATTGGGGGTCACTCTGCTGGTAAACAGAGTCACACTATGTGCAATTTTAGCTCAATATAAATCATGCTGTTCTGTGAAGTCCTCAGATGTTAAAGGTCCAACTACATCATGATAAATATTTGCTGAAATGTCCACAAATTGGGCCTTAACAGAATGTGGGAGGCAGAGAAAACATTTGGAAGAAGGTGCTCCGAAACAGAGACTTCTGGGTGACACGCCAAATGTTTGGAGTGGCAGGAATCCAACACTGACTATCACCCTGAACGCCTCCTGGAAAAGCAAGGTGGTGGCAGCATGATGTGGTGGGGGGAGTTGTTATTTTCAGCGGGGACAGGGAAGCTGGTGAAAGTGGATTGGAAGATGGACGGAGCTAAATAGAGCAGTCCAGGTAGAAAACTTGCGAGAGGTAGAAAAAGACTTGAGAGCAGGTTTACGTTCCAGCGGGGCAACAACAAAGACCCAGGGCTACAACAAAACGATTTGGATCTAAGCAGAGAGTTATGTGTTAAAATGACCCAATCAAATTCCAGACATAAATTAAGTAATGAAAGTCTTTGGTACTAGTTGAACATTCCTTATCACAGAAGCTCTTCAGATAATATCACTGGACTTCAGCTCCTCAGTCTTTACATGATAGAGAAATAAAACTAAAGTTCTGTAATTACAGCAAGAAATGTGTTTTTCAGGTAATGACTGAAGCAGGCTGTTGTATGCTTCCTCCCTCAACATTACTTTGTGTTGCTCTGTCACACACCGTCCCGGGCAAATTCACTTGAGCTTGGGGTTGTAATGCGGTAAAGTTCAAGGGCTGTGAACCCTCTTCATGCATCCGCTCTTTCAAACCTGAATGCCTGATTGATTTTATGAAGTCATATATGTCAGAGATGAGACAATAGTGACATAACTGCTTTTCAATTAGCAGCCGTCTCTTATTGCCCCCCAGTTGTCTCAGCTGTGAATACACTGCAGAGGTTTTAATGAATGTGAACAGCGAGGACTCCCAGGTGACCCACTGGTGCTGCGGAGTGATAATGAAAAGGGCGGATACTTTGGAGGAACTCGTCCATGCCGCTGCTCCCCCCCCCCCCCCTTATTCATTAATCGGAGGTGGTGTGCGACCGGAGCAGCACGCACGATGTTTGCTCAGTCAGCCAGCTGAGCATGTTGATTCTCTGAACTCTGAGATGAGAGGGCCGCTCGCATCTACAGGAGGCTCTGGGAACGTCACCGTTCGGGAGGCCGACATTGACTTCGCCCTCATGGTGACAAACAGTTTTGTTCTGCTAATCACCTCCGCTGTGGGAACAGCGGCGAACGTTTTTGTGATCCTGGCGGTGTGTCACCAAAAGTCGCTGCAAACGTCCGTCAACGCGCTGGTGGTGAACCTTGCCGTCGTGGACTTTCTGCGCTGCACCGTCGACTGCCCGGTTCTGCTGCACGTCATCGTGACCCTGCACCGTAGGGGCCATGTGGACCGTCTGATCTGTGAAACGCAAACGGCCTCCTTCTCCTTCAGCTGCTGCATCCAGCTGTCGACGCTGGGCTGCATAAGCGCAGAGAGATACCAGGCGATTGCGAATCCCTTCAAAACAACTCAACGAAAACGACGGATGATGGCACTGATTCCTCTTACGTGGCTCCTGGGAGTTTCGGCGGCTGCTGTTTGTCAGGTGTTCTTGAAAGACTCACCTGTGTACGTAAGATGTAAAGAGGGCCACAGAGGAATATCCTCGACCTACGACACCGTTGGTCTCTACGTGCTGCTCCCTCTCTGGGTGTCCTGTTTCGGGGTGATCACTGGCTTCTACGCTCGCATTTTTGCTCTACTGAGATCACACAATCGCAAGATATTTGATGAAGGCACTTCTGTTCCTTCAAAAGACTCAAAGGAGGACAAGCACACCCCTGCAGTGGAAAATGGGCAAGACAAATGTGAGAACAAGCAGATCCTGAGTACAAGTGTTGTTGAACCAAGTCCAATTGGTAAAAATTCCCTCCTGACCTTGGAGGGCACCCCACAAAGCGCCTCCATTAGTCCTGAAAGAAAAACCGAGTTTAAAATTACAGTAGAGATGAGTCACTTGGAGAAGGAACAACTCCACCCTCTTGCAGCGCAGGACGCACCGCAGACTGAGGAGAAAACGTTAAAAACGGAGCAAATCAGTGCTGACAAAACAGAAACAAAAGCCTCTAATCAGGATACGCCTGCTGACAGAGAGACGCAGGAGAAGTCAAGAAGCCTTAACCGAGAAAATCAGACCGGAGAAAGCCTGAAACCTGAAAGTCCGGTCAAAGAGAACAGCCTCCTTATTGTACCATCTACTCAATCAGAGCTCCTTAAATCCACTTCTGTCTTATTGACTGGCCAGAAACAAGAAAACAATAACACCGGAGGAGAGACACAGGCAGCGCCTACGCTAGATCAAGAGCCTCCACTGCCTCCTGTCCAAAGTAATGAAGCCGTAAACCAGGAGGTCCAATTGGAGGGGGCTGTTTGCGTCATGCCTTCGAAGGCCAGCAAGGAGAGAGTGAGGAAAAGGAAGGAAACTAAAATGGCCAAACGCGCCGGGTATATCATCATAACCTTCCTTTTGTTCTGGCTGCCGCTGATCACAACCATCCTGGTGAATTTTCTTGTCTACAAAAACAGAAAAATGCAGGTGAGTCTGTGTGTGAGCTTCTTACAGGACATCCAGAAGACATTACCAGGCAAAAATATTAAGAGTGAACGGCACATTTGGACCCTTCCATCAGAAGGAATATATATATGTGTGCTTGAAACCCAGCAGAGCTCTCACACATATAGTTTATCTTTTTGCTTTTTTCCCCTCCCAGACGCCAGTGATTCAAGACATGGAGATCCTGTCAGTGTCTGTCTCCTGCATCACATCCCTGAGCGACCCGATAATATACGCTGCAGTGAACCCGCAGTTTCGCTCAGAGTTTCACAAGTTAAGGAGCTGGGTTAAATCCAGATTCTGTAGGAAGTGAGGACATCGCTGACTTTTACACTTTGATAAAACTGGACGCACACTTTTGGATTTATGGGGCCCTTAAAAGTGTGATTTAGTTCAGATATGGACTATTTACAGCGACAAACGCCAAAGTATTTCATGAGGATGTTGGGTGATTGGCTAAATTGTGGAGTGAAAGAAGGCTTAGATCATAATTGTGATTCATTTGCTAATTTTGGGATGAAAATACAAAAAAACTAATTGCTGTTCAGGAGATTATAAAAGCTGCATTGGTTTGTATTTGGGGTGTTACATTAAAAAGAGGCAAAATACAAATTTGCATCAGTTTTTATTTATCCTCTGAGAATTACTGTTTTTCTTTTTTAACTTTACCAACTCACAACTCTGTGTTGGCTTGTCACAGACAATCTAAATAAGACACACTGAGTTTTATAGCTTGCAACTAGAGATTCACCAATAAATGAGCCTGAGATCAGTCGTCAAATTTGTCCTTTGTGACAGAATTGATGTTTTTTTTCAATAAGTGGTCAAACACCAAATAGATATTTTTTTTATTTTCAACAACTGCATCAAAACTTGTCACAATTTTCAGGAAGCACGTCAGGAACCTTTTTGAGTTTCATTAAAACCTGATGATACAAGTTTGTCAAGAAAATCTTGTCTTGAAAACAGAGAACCTTCAAAACTGTTTTTGTTTTTCTTACATGTTTTATATTCCTTTAGAAAACGAAATCTGCTAAATGAAAGAGTAGTTGCGACATGACAAAATGTGAATAAGTGAGTGGTTATACAGTGTTACACATCTGATATAACGTAGCACGTAGAGCCTGATTAAAAAATAAAAACCAATCTAAGTCCCTGTCATAAGGGGATCTTTTGTTTTCTTTACATTGAGGTTATCGAGGGTCTTTTGTTTTACACGCCTCTATGCTTTCTCCCATATTCCACCTGCTGGCTTCTCAGCGCTTGCTAAACGCTACAGAGCGGAGGCATCGCATGCTGTGAGGAGCTGCTTACGCCGACGTTCAGCTCAGCAGGGCGGCGCCACAGAGCTCCCCGTCAAACAATCACCGAGGTCAGCTCATGTGTCTCCAGAGACCCCGCTGCCAGGACCCACCGCTGGGCCAGCAGGTCCTCACATGTCCCACAGCAGCTCCTCCTTATGATCCACTCTTTGTTAAACACATACATGCACCCACGCACACACACCTGGAGTAAACAGGGAAGATATTATAGTTTTTAGCCCTCTCATGAAAAATGGATCTTAAAGGAAGAATTTCACAAATTGCTGTGAAGGACAGATAAAAGCAGACATAAATATTTGTGCTAAATAACAGTAGTAAAAATATTCCAGGATCCATCAATGTAATGAAATGAAATGTTAGCTTCATGATATTTATCTACATATGTAACTTGTTAATGTCCTGAGTTGCTAAAATGTATATTTCCACATAGATTTTATTTGAATTGTTCCAGTCCCTCCTGCAGCAAAAAAAAAAAAAAAAAAAAAAAACATATATATATATATATATATATATTATATATATATATATATATATATATATATATATATATATATATATAATATATTTTTATATATATATATATATATATATATATATATATATATATATATATATATATATATATTATATATATTTTATATATATATATATATATATATATATATATATATATTATATATATATATATATGTATATATATATATATATATATATATATATATATATATATATATATATATATATATATATATATATAAATATATGTATTTTTTTTTTTTTAACTCTCGTTCTCAGTATTCTGGCATCATTTTGGACCTAAAACATTTATGCTTTGTTTCACTGAATCAATGAGAAATGGTGTAAATATTTTTGTTTCAATTGTACATGCAGCTATTACATCATCACCCTGATGCATACAGAAGAAAACTGCTGTAGTGACCACCACTATTAGGGGTCAAGAAGAGTTAAAAAAAAAAAAAAGAAAAAAAAAAGACATGGGTCATTTTATAGATGCTTCAGCAGATCTGCACTGTTTATTCTATCCACTGCACCAAATGCACAATGTGTGATAAATTTGTCCCTTTTCTTTACCCTTACACACGCAGTCCATGACAAGATTTGTATTTCATTAAAAGCACACTTTAAAATCCGGACACCCGCGTCGCTCCGTTGTGCTCCAGCCCATTAATCCGGCCGTCACTGAAGCAAACCTCCCAACAAGAAGCAGACACACACTTTAATTAAAACATAATTCTGCAATGACAGCATGCAAATCATTAAATTCAATCAGGTAACAGACAGAAAGAGTTTTCTTTTTCTTTTTTTGTTTTGTTTTGTTTTTTCTTTTTGCCAACAACTGTTTCAAACTAAATCTAGAACTTAGAGGAGCCCAACTTCAGATGCATTTGATAAAGTCCTAACTGAGAAATATTTACAGTATGAAAAATATACAAAGTGGTGCTTTGAACACAATGGAGTCAACCGAGTCGTTGCGAGGAAGTCAGTCGATGACCTTTCCTAAGGGTCTCGCAGGCCGGTGCTTGCATCTTGTCCACCTCCAGGTTAGCAAAGTGTTGCCGGAAACGTTCACTTATGCACTTGTGCCCTAGCTAATGTATACCCTGTATGGTTATCAATAACTGTTAACTACCGACAGGTGGCTTTCACGCTGACCCGGGATGGCAAATATGGCATCTAACACGGGTTTTGGTCGTTCAACCTTCACTTGCACACGTCGGGATGAGTCGTGTGATGTCATTCGCCAGGCGATGGCGCCGGCCGGTTTCGTGAGTCAGTTCGTGGATGTTCACAACAGCGATGCGTTCCGGTGGGCGCGCGTCGTTTTCGGCCTTACACGACAGTGTTACGGGGGTAGGAAAGCGTTTCAATCGAAGAGGGCTTTAAAATGCAACGGCGTGGAGAGTGAGTCCATATTCACAAAGACGGCAAGGAATACGTGTGCTTTAATGCCAAGAGGCCCGTCGAGAACGATCTTGAGACTTTTCCCGCCTTTGAATCAGAGACAGCAAACACATCTACGTCACATATTGAAAAATAAAGTTGTTGATTTTTTTTTTGTTTGTTTGTTTTTTTCCCAGTGTGTCTAGGCAACGATGACGGTCATTCCAAGCGCCTCCTCGCTTTGATGTGCTTAATGAAGCAAAAATCTGCTGGTTCAACATCAAACTCCGGCCCCCCGGGGGGAGGGGGCCGCGGTCCTCAAAGAGTTTAGATTTATTTTTTTTCTGTTTGTTTTGTGTGTGTGTGTGTGTGTGTGTGTGTGTGTGTGTGTGTGTGTGTGTGTGTGTGTGGGTGTGTGTGTGTGGGTGTGTGTGTGTGTGTTTTCTTTTGTAACACCATGCAGAGTTTGACATCAGATGAAATCACAACTTCAAAATAAAAAAAGTCCCCCGACCGCTTGTCAAGCTCACAATCCCTCTCGGTTATGGCAGGTTGATGCTCGGTGGTCCCTCTCCTCAGCATCTGGTGCTTCTCGAGACCCGCTTGGGCTGATCGGGCGAGGCAGGTGCGACATCTACAAGGCAGATACTCGGACAATGTTGCTCTGCGAGTACGTGGTGGTGGCGGTGGAGGCGTCGCCCGACGAGGTCGCCACCGGGGCGGACAGCCGGACCATGGACGGGGAGATGTAAGCCTCGTCGCACTTCAAGGGCACCGTCTCGTCCAGTTTGGCGTTCAGGCTGGAGCGGCTGAGGAGGAAAACCGCCAGAGTCAGTTGACCTTGAGAAGCATTAGCAGGCAGTCGGCTTTTGTGGAATATTTCACAGCCGTGGGAGTCAGTTTCCATGAAGAACACAAAAGCTTTTGTGACAGAAAGTTCTAAGAAATTAGCTTTTTCTCTCTCTCTCCGTTTGTGAGAGCCCATAAAAAATACAATAAAAGAAACAATTTACTGGACTCCGTTTACGAAGCTTAAAGTTTAGTACACGCATTGCTCTAGAAAAAGTAAGCCGTCTATTTTATTTATGCTTTCATTTCAATGAGGCGGACTTTTCTTTCAATCTTTTAAAGTAGAACTTGATCAATATTTCTTCTGGCGTTCTGGAGATCTTTTAAAGTTTTGGTTTTCACCATGTTTTTTTTTTTGTTTTGTTTCTCAGATTTTCTGTGCGGCCTTCGTGATGATCTGGTGATGCAGTGCGCGCTTTAAAACGGACAAACCTAAAACCGTATTATTGGCAGATGAACGGCATCGGTTTGCATTCGCTCTGTGGAAATCCATCGAAAAACCCAGAGCAACGCCTGGGTTTACTTTCATCATCGACTGGATGGCAAAACTATAGGCATCGTCTTGCCGGTGCTTAAATCCGATTTTATTTTCGTCTCTGAACCTTTTTCTTTTCATATGCTCGTTACATGGGAACAGATTGTCTCTATGAGAAGTTGCAGATGATCAAGTGTCTCCAGAGCCAATTGAAAGTTCGCTCTTAACCATCAAACACTTTTTGCTGTTTCAACTACAATCTTACATTTTGTGTGATTTGATCAAATCGACCAACGCAAAGCTGTGTACGAATGCTTTTTAATGAGTTTTTGCTTACTTTGACTGGGCCATTCTAAATACGCATTAATCTAAACCACTGTATTGTGACCGTGGCTGTATGTTTAGGGTTGTTGAGCCCGTTCTCCAGGGTTTTGCAGGTTTTCTTCTTCTTCTTTTTTTTGATTAAGCAACAACAAAAGCCTCACATCATTTTGATGTCACCATCTTACAGCACTGTGGTGAAGTTTTGCTCCAGCCGATATGCAATATGAGTTTTCTGCCACACTTGGCATTTCGTACGGATGCCAAAAAACGTTCCGTTTCGGCCTGTCTGACCGGGGAACCTTTGAGCGCACTCAGCTAAAAGAGCTCAGCGCTTACTTTCAGCGCAACACAAAACCTGTTTACTTCTGTGACTGTAACATCGCAGCATGTGAAAACGGTTCAATCGGAATGACTTCTTTTCCAGAACACACGAAGCTGCCTGTTATACGAACACACAACACGGGTTCCCCCGCTGCAGTCTTTATCTTTTTTTTTTTCGTTCCCCCTGTTCAGCGTCGATGTTTAGTGCATGCTGCATGAATGCCGCTGTCAAAAAGTGCAGCGCATCAAAAGTCGTCACAGAAAACTTCGTTTTTAATTCCTGCTGGGTTTGACTTTGACACCATCAACAGTTCTCAAACTGGGACAGGAAGATGTTTACCCCTGAGTTACATCACCCCTTTTTAGCTCTGTGACGGTAACTGAAGGGATCAGTAGCTGTAGTGTTTCTCAGTCTTTCGTGACAGAGGATTTGGGCAGCTTAAGCACATAGCACACCTCTTCAAACATTGTCACTGTTTCCCTTTTTATTGTTCAAAACGAAGAGCCCAATTCGCAGCCAAATCCGTTTTGAGGGTTCCTTCGTACGCGGCCATGCTGTTACAACAGGAAGGAAAGGACGACGCGTGTCGCCTCAGTTTCAGAAAAAAGTGAAAACGTTTGTTAAGCTTTCTCATTTTAGAATCTGTCATCTCTCAAGCCTTTAGATGTGTCAGACCAGGCACTGATATCCACTACAGAGCCACCGCCTGGGGGCCAGAAGGTTCTCACTACCCAGCACTATTTCTTGTGTGCAGGCTATCTAGGTTTCTTGGGAGAAGTTACTTGTTATACATTGCAACATCTTCAGTAATGCTCTCTGTTTATAGCAGGAAATGATAATAGTAGTGTTTGTTTACATATCAATAGTACCATTTTTTTTAAAAGCAAGCTTCTCTTACCTCACGTTTATCTTCCAATCCGCCCCACCCCCAAAAACCTTCAATCTGTTTTTATTCAGTTTTAATGCAACAAACACTAAGACTTACATATTTGTAAAGTGGAAATAAAAAGCACACATGGTTTTCAAGCAACAAAAAATTGGAGTAGTTTACCTTTCATTGGCATCCAGCTCCCCTCAGCGTCTAATCTGTAGAAGCACTTCCTGCTGCAATAGCCTTTGGGGAAATGCCTTTCTAGCTTTGCACATGTAGAATATTTATTGCTTTTGGGGTTTTTCTCTTCCAAACAGTGTAGTCAGATTGGAATTGAAAACTTATTTGAACACAAATTTCCATTGGATTTCGCTCTGAACTTTGATTAGGCCATTCTGACACGTGGTGGCTCCCTTTGAAAACCCTGTCAGTGCTGTAACCATTATTCAAAACCAGATTCGATTTTATCTAAACAACGACAACAACAAAAAATATACATGTGATTTTAAATTACGGTTTAGAAATTAATTGAATTAAATGCTTTAATTTTTGCTTTTTGTTTTTCCTTCTTCTTCTTCCCTCCAACTTTCCTACTTTGAAAAGCACTGTTCTAATCTAGTCATTGCAGCTCTGGCTTCACGTATGTTCCTACTGTACCAAAAAGCAAGCCCACAGCATGACACTCCCACCACCAAGCTTCACAGTGGTGTGTTTGGCATTATCCGCAGTATTGGTCTTCATTCGAGGTGGCAGAGCACCTTCTTCCAAATGTTTGCAGTCTCCTCTACACGGCCTGCAGCAATCCTTTACTGAGATTTATTTTAATGAGCTGCCAGGCCTCAGTGGACACTTTCCCATTAACCCTGTCTTTGCCCAGCAAGGTGTCGGATTGGAAAAAAAAACATATGTGAGATGGTCAGAACGTATGCTGATGTGATGTTTTCATGTGTAGAGCAACAGGAAGGATGTGCGTTTCCTTCCGCCTTTCGCTCACCCGTCACATGAAACTGGGAAAGGGCTCAAGACCCCGTCGCCATTCCCCACCTGTTGGACACGGGCCGCTCTCGGATCTGGATGGTGCTGAGCTCCTGGTTGTTGGCGCTCGGCAGGCTGAAGCTGCTCTTCTTCCGGTGGCGCCGCGAGCAGCAGGAGCCGAGGCCGTGCGGCGACGAGGACAGCGAGGACGTGCGCGAGCCCGCCTTGTTCACCACTGAGATCTCCATGCAGTTGGCCTGGAACGTCTGCTCGTCCACGAACTCGTGATTCTGGCAGCGGGAGGAGAGGAGACAAGGGGGATAAAATTCAACTGCTTTTCCACATCAGCGTTCAGCACCAAAAAACAAACCTAAAAACCTCATAGATGAGGGAGGAGGGGGAAAAATGAATTCTCAAGGGAGTGGAACTATATTGGGCCAGATGTCCGTGTTAAGTGCCATCTGTGTGAACACAACTGTTATCCCTGTGACAAATGAGCGGAACTTGAAGGTCAGCGTGGAGACGCGTTGCAGCTCCTGCCAGCAGGTGGCAGGGGGACACCGCGGAGGACGGGTCGGGTGCCGTCCCCTGAATCACGCCTCCGCTCTCCTCCTGCTGCTGCTCCTCTCCCCATTATCCATAATGCACATCAAGAGGCCTAATGTAAACATTTGCGCACTCCATCTGAATGCTGTGTGTGACCTCTATGTGGCTCTATGAGGATCCCTCCCCCCTTCTGAAAGCTGCTTCTGCACGTCTCTGCTGCAAGCGGCTGATGAGGGAGGGGGGCAAAAACTGTGCCACTGTATGTCACCGCCATTAAAGAGGCTCTTTCATCTCTAAATTACAGATAACATAAAAACAAAGCAGGCTGCTTTGTTTGGAGGAAAACGAGGCAACTGGCAGGCAGAGTCGAGCTCGTTGCTGGAGACGAGAAACAGCGACAACACGTTTCCCAATCCCGTTGATGGCTATTTTTAACCAGCGCTGCACGTGAAATAGATTCTTACAGTACGAACGTGGACGGAAACGTCACTTTGTTTCTATTTTTGTCTTCCTGTAACAGGTTGGGCGCTACTGACGATGCAGGAGCGAAACGGTTTCGCATGAAAGTGAAGCCCGTTCATCAACCACAGTCTGATGATGAAAGGCTTTTCTTCTTAAAACAAATATTTTGCAGATGGAAAGGTGAGAAGTTGGTTACTTTAGTAGGAAAACTGGAAGATGGAAAGGTTGTTTGCTTTTCGTTGGACGCACCTTTTAAAGGTAATCTCTTTAGATAGAATTTCAATATCAACATGATTTTTGTCTGTTAAAGTAAATCTAATCAAGGTGAAATTCTCGCCACCCCTTGAACGACCTGTTCACTACCCCGGCCTGCTGAGGCGCCGCACCAAGAATCAACATGAAAACCTCTGAAGAAGCACAACACTGAGTTTCCTTCTCCGTGGAATGTAAACATAAAACGGAGTGGCGGCAGATTTTAGTGGCTGTAGGATTTGTTTTGGCAAAAGACCCCGAGCCATTTCTCATTTTTCTGATAGCGCTACACTCGCATGCTTGTTTTGTCTGCGTTTACCCAGAATGCTCCGCGCTGCAATCCGCTTCCTGGTTTTGGAGCAGTCTCTGGTCCACTTGCAGCTATACATTCAAACCACATGACAGTTCACTGCCACCGAACCAAATACCTAGGTTTCTAGATGGACCAAAGTTAAGTTTTTTGGTCCACATCAGAGTTTGATTGCGTGTTCACACCTCCACTAACGAACCGGACTTTCTAGACAAATGAACCAGTTTGATTAAAGCAGACTAAAGAAGACTAGAAGACATATGTTTTTTTTTTATTTGATAAAATCCTGCTGCAGAAATACTTTAATAATTGAGCATTTACTTCTGTTGCCAGTGAGCATTTACAAACAAGAACCCCTGGATCACGTCTTCCACTAAGAAAACTATTCTCACCGTCGTCTTCTCCAGGCAGTGCAGCAAATGATGATGTTGGCTCTCAAACGGAGGGCTGGCCGCCTTTCCAACCAGGGCCTGTCCTGCTTGCTTAGAGGCCTTGGAAAACACAAAGTTAAAACAGACAAAGACAAGAAGAAGAAGAAAAAGAAGCTGCAGTGTAGATGAGCAGGCTCAGACTATAAAATGAACAACCAGATGCAGTGATGCGGTGGGGGAAAAGAAAAAAAAAAAACGGAAAAAAAAAAGCAAAGCACTGAAGTTTAAATGCTGATCTGTAGCTTGGCAGCCAATCTACTGCATCGGATGCATGGAAACTTGGGCTGACTGCAGAGATGCACAGAGAGATCGGCTGATGACTGGAGTTGGATGATTTTCAGACAGATTAACCCTGACTGGTGACCTGGCAGGCAGAAACTCAAACACTCTTTAGATTTTTTTTCTGGAGCAGTAATATTACGTTTGGCCCAGTCGTGCTAAATCACAACTCTTTTCGGTGTGGAAATTGTTACTGAGTGTAAATGACATAAAGATAGCTATTTCTAGCATAAGTCGAGTGTTTTAAACTAAGTCAATAGGATAAAGTTTGTGCTTCGTCTGACTTGCATGTTTTCTTTTCTTAAAGAAAACCGAATTTTGATTCAAACAACAGCTGGGCATCGAGATGTGTGAACCTTTTGCTTCAAAACGAAACGAAATTCTGGTTGTTTGGTGACGTTGACAGTCATCACCAATTAAAAGCACCAAAGTAAACCGAGGTTTTAAAAGTCTTCTATGATACAATTTCTATGGTGAAAATAGCTTTCATTGAGATGCAAAGAAAGAATTCAATTGCATCAGTGCCTCTGCTCCACCGATGTCTGTGCACTGCCACTCAGCTGGCTGAAAGACTATCAATCAAATGTTTCACAGTCACTCCTGCAGAATATATTTACAGTCCCAAAAAATGAACGGAAGGAACAGCAGCTTTTAGCTTGACAGCAACAATAAAATAAAGTTTTTATTTTTCTGAACCGCGTCATGTTTACTTTTGATATCCCGTCCTGTTTAACACTCGCTGCTCCCCTACGGACTCTGTGTGTTGTTGCCTCTGCTCATCATGTAATTAACTGGTGATTGCTGAGGCGGCGGAGGTTGAACAAATACTTTTAGGATTGTGATTTAAGGAATTAGGTTGAAAATAATTCACTGGATGTCACGTTAAAGGAATCTTCTAATTAAATTTTTATTCATTTATTAGTGTTTTGAAGTGTGTCAGCCAGATTCCCAACTTCAGTCTGATATAAAATTTATGAAGGGAGTTAAAGATTAGAGTGACACTATGGAGGCCTTCCAACCAGACTCAGCACCACAGACCAATCATTAAAGTACCAACACAGCAACTCATTTCAATTTTTATTATTTGCAAGACGAGTACAAGCATGCTTTGGCAAGCCATTTTTAATAAAATGTGAAAAAAACAGATAACTTTTGTTCATAAGATAGATGCAATTATTTTTGTTTGGTTGTGTTTCCAACGACACGAGTTGGATGGATTCAGGTTGGCTGGAGGAAATAATTTGAAAATGAAACTAAGAGGATACAGAGTCTGCTAAAGTTGGTGTCAACAGTTCAAAGCATTACAAAACCTCCCAAAACTGACCAAAAATCTCAGACCGTTGCATCTCAAGGTGAAACGGAGGGTCATTTTGTCTGTTTCTCTTCTCGTACAAAATGGAAGATGATGGTCGAATTCAAGCTAAGCTCATTTCAGAGCCACAGCAGTGGCGCACCTCGACACAGATCAAACACATCACAAATTTCAAACTGAAACACCACCACACACTGATAAAAAAAAAAACAACAAAAAAACACACACACATAGTTGATGAAGCTCTGCGCGGCTCTGGGATGGACGGCATGTTGCATTAGTCTATAACCTGGATGCTCAAGAAATCACACACACAGATCAAACACAGAGTTTAGAGGAGATGCAGGCTGAGCACACAGCTTCCACGGCCCGACGCGCTTTCCGACAAGGCCCCCCCTTTTTATGGGGTTCCCTCCTTCCCCTCCAAACCCTGTTGGACAAACATGCAGAGCTTGATTATGAGTCAGTGTGACTGCGTTCCACCGGCAGGAAAGAGTCCCCTGCCCTACAAGGCCCCCACCCCCACTCAAACCCTCTTGCTGTATGGGACAGAGAGATAGCGTTCATGTCGATGCTGCAGCCGAAAGGTTTGATGCAAGAGAGAGGACGATCACACTGAAGCACTGGAATGACATCGGCCCCTATGTCACTGCATGAGAAGCCCCTCCCCACCCTCCCAAACTTCCACGTTGCGTGTGTGTTTGGTGGCATGCCCCTCCCTCCAGCCCAAAGTCCCTCCTCGAGCAAAAAGCGGCATGCAAGCGTCAGCGAGGACCCAGGTCGGTCAGCCCCCATGCTGCTGCTTGGCGCCGTTACCTCCTCCAGCGCGTCGATCAGGAGCCCGTTTTGTTTGTAGCGCATATAGGCGTTAGTGCCCCGAATCTTGGCAGCACGGATTCTAGCGAGGCGAGTTTTCTGTTTGAACAAACAGAACCTCTGTTTTAGCCCCTGACGGTCTGTCTGTCTGTCACACTAATTGGGTCTGTCTCTGCCTGACAGCAACAGAACTGGGCTGGGAGAAGTTCTGCTTAAATCTGCTATTAGGAAAACTGTGCCTTGGCAAACACTTTAAGTGGGAAAAAAAATGAATAGTATAATTTTTTTTTTAAAAAAAGCTGCTGACATGATAATCTGTAGATATATGATTTGTTTAGGCTTCGTCATTCCCTTCTGTTATTTCTGACTCCCACTGAAATACAGTAAAGCAAGTTGAGACCGTCCCGACGCAAACATCCACACAAGCACAATAAAAGATTAATATTCTGGAAGATAGTGTTTACCCTGTCATTCTGTTACAGGCGGATAAGACAGGGACAGAGGAAAAATGGCAGAGAGAAGCAAAACAAACACTATAAAAAGAAGGGGAGATGAAGGACAGGGGTTGAGGGTTGGGGGTGGGTCAGTACCCTCTGGGCTCGTCGTTTCTCCGCCCGTTGGCTTTGGTGGTAAATACGGCTGAAGTTTGACACTATCACAGGGACGGGCAGGGCGATGACCAGCACCCCACTCAGAGAACATATGGACCCAAACACCTTCCCCACAATCGTCTTTGGCACCATGTCACCGTATCTGAAAGAATAAAAAAACACACACAGAGACACACACATCACTGTAAACAGACACACAGGAGAAAGACTGTATGTCTATATTATTAGGTTATTCATCTACACCGTGTTCCAAATTATTATGCAAGTGATATTTTCTCAGATTTTCTTATAAAATGGTCAGTACAAATGATGGTCAATGTAATTTTCAAGTCATGAGCTATTACAGTATAAATCAAATTTTACTGCTGCCCATGAGAAGAGTATTTTTCCCAAAAATAAAAAACTCAAAATGCACTGTTCCAAATTATAATACACAGCAGATTTTCTAAACACTTCATGGATTATAAAGAACTGGAAACAGTCATTCTTTGAATGTGCAGCATTAAGTGATCACATGTACTAAAATCAAAAGCTATTTCAGTCAAAAACATCTTAAACCGAGTTACATGGTAACATAGGACCCCTTTATTATCACCTGCATGATTCTTGCATCCATTGAACTTGTGAGTTTGTGGAAAGTTTCTGCTTGAATTTCTTTGCAGGATGTCAGAATATCTTCCCAGAGCTGCTGTTTTGATATGAACTGCATCCCAGCCTCAGATCTTCTGCTTGAGGAAATTCCAAAGGTTCTCAATAGGGTCAGAGGTCAGAGGAGGATGGTGACCACACCGTGAGTTTCTCCCCTTCTATTCCCATAGCGGCCAATGACACAGAGGTATTCTTTGCAGAATGAGATGGTGCATCGTCATGCATGAGGGGGATTTTGCTGCTGAAGGTGCGGCTCTTCTTTTTGAACTATGAAAGAAAGTGACCAGTCAGAAACTCCATATACTTTGCTGAGGTCATTTTCACACCTTCAGGGACTCTGAAGGTGTGAGACCAGCTCTCTCTCTCCCCATGATTTCGGCCCAAAAAATGACTCCACCGCCAGCCTCTGGAGGATCCTGGACTTTGAGGTTCCAGAGGCACCAGCAGCTTCAAATCACTGTTTGCTGCTTTGTAAGGGCATTTTAACAGCTGCTCTTTTACTCCGATGAATTTGTCTAACAGAAACCTTCCTCATTAAGCCTTTATCTGTGCAAACCCATCTTTGTTCTGAATCAGCCACAAATCTCTTCACAGTGCAATGATAACGCTTCAGTTTTTGTCAAATATCTAATGTTTTCATACCTTGTCACACGGCACTACACTATCTGATGATTTTCTCTTTCCCATATTCATTGAAACCTGTGGCCTGATTAATAATGTGGAACATCCTTTGTAAGTAGATTTCCTTTAATTGTGCCACCAGACAAACTAATCAACCAGCTCTCTGAAATTAATTCTAGAGATTCAAAGAACCCTGACACACAATACCATCTATCAGTTTAACAGCACAACATAAATATTCATCTTTATGACATTTGAATCCAATTTGCATAATAATTTGGAACACGGTATTGACCTCTTTATAGATCCTTGCAAAATGCCTTATGATATTTTTAAACACAGTGGTCTGACAAACATAAATTTCAATGTATTTTATATGATGAATCATCACACTGAATAACTGTGAAGTGGGAAAAAAGGATGCATCAATTCAATGTTTTTCTGTCTGTGTGTTTTTCAACAAATCAAACATGTGATTACTTTTGTTTGTTGAATACTGACACCTTATCGAACCACCTTTCATTGCAGATTAGAGCAGATATGTCTCTTCTAGTTTTCCACGTCTACGCTGACATTTTACCCGGCAAACAGATGGTCAGACTGGAACGACACTGATGACCCCAACATCAGCGCCATTTACGGTACACTTTCGTCTTTACACGAATGTTCAATTTGACTTAGATCTTAATTTTGACTGTGTCGTTATAACCACATTCATACAATATTCAATCAATTAGAATATGCGTTCTGATGATGCCTTTTCGTCAGATTGAACACACCTTTTGAAAATAACCTTTAAACCAGTATGAAGCATAATTTTTATTCAGCCCTCGTTCTTTTTATTGTGATATTCTAATTTTAAACGCCATGTTTTTATTGCCTGTAAGTGGGAAATCATCACAATTAACAGAAATAAAGGTTTCTAAACAGCCATCTCTGTCTAATTAATCTCTGAAACGTGTTTCACTTATTAAGAAAGTTCCTGAAATAAATGGCATGTTAAGCCACATTTTAATTATCGAATGGTTCTGTATGCCTTGATTTTAACTAGGTTTGTCCAAAGTGCAACCATTTGTTGCCCTTTGCATGATTTAGTGTGACACCCCCAACCACAATTCAAGAATGGCAGAAATGCAGCCTGACTGCACAGGTGGTTGTTGCAGATTAACATTTTCTGTTTGGACAAGGTTTTTTATAAGAGTGTACATATCTCATTCTTGTTACTGAGGAAATAAAAATACAAATTTAGACAAAAGAAAACAACACAAAACATGTAGGAAAAAGTAGGCCTGTCTTTTATTAATGAAAAAAAACCCCAAAATGCTTTGGTTCTATAATGTTCAAAAGCTCAATAAAAATATGACATGTGCAGTTTATTGCCGAGGAGCTAAAAACAGCAATTGTTTGCTCAATTTTCTCACCACAGATTTTCTTTGGTAGCGTCAGAGCAATGGGGGATGAACATAATGCCATAAAATTTGGATTTTTATTTGCAAATGACTTCAGAAACCATGCATGATTTCACACCTTGTCTGATTTAAATCACAATAAAAATACTACAAAATTCACAGAGGTAAGCTCACAAAAGGTAAAATTTGGGGTTGAGAACACTTTTGTCAGGTACTGCAGCTGCCGTGTGTTTCATGTTATTTTAGGAGCCCTGAAATAGTTACACTGACCTTGAATTATTTCACAACTTCAAATAAGAAGTCACACATTTGAAGCGGGATGGGGAATAAATAGGATTTCTCTGAAGACTACTCGTCTTGGCCTACTTTTCTTTCTGTGCCACCCTCCTTTAAAAACCCTTTTTCATATATAATTACACACCTGCTGGCAGCGGCTAATGCCTTCACGTCGTGACCAAATGCGCTACACATCCTCCGTGACCTCCGTTAGGCAAACAGCTTGTGAAAGATACGGGGAGCGGTTTCACATCGAGCGCAAGCGAAGAGGGGAGGGGCGGTGGGCCGAAACCTGGGGAGTTTTGTTTCAGATGGTGCTACCGTGGTGCTTTGTTCTTTATTGTCATGTTTAAAACAGGTTGTGAATTATGAAACGCACATATGGAGTGAAATCAAGCATAGGAAAAATAAAGAATGTCAGAAGCTTTTGTAAATTTTCAGTTATCTTGATCGGATTGTGTTTCGTAGCACAAACGGGCTTTATGTGATGAGAACAGTTTAAGCATAAAACCAAATTTGTGTCGCTGTGCTATTGGAAAATCAGATGCGATCGCTCTCGACATAAAACTCTAGGTTAATCCGACCTTTCTTTCTTTTTTCCACCTGGATACCTTGGTTCAATCTCCCCGTCGCCCTCCCCATTTACAGGCTTTTACCATTTTTGATTTATTGTCACTCCTACCTTAATGTTTCTAATCAAAGGGAAAATGGTTTTCCAAACCAAACCTATGTGAGAGAGCTGTCCACCTCAAACTAATAACTGGTTGTGTCACCCATGGCAGTCACAACCCCCATCAAGCATTTGCAGTAAACGGCAATATGTCTTTACAGCTCTGTGGAGAAATTTTGATCCACTCTTGTTTTCAGAATTGCTTTGTTCGAGCCACATGGAGGGTTTTTGAGCATGAACAATCTGTTTATGGTTATGTGACTGGATTGGAGTCCAGGACTCTGACTTGGCCACTCCAAAACCTTCATTGAGTTTGCTTTGGGGAGAGGTCCTTCCGTCGCTCAGTCACGCCTGCTTTGGGTTAATGTTAGTTCATGATTGGCCTTAAATTATGTGAAAATATAAGACACTTATATTTTCACATAAGGCCTGTTGGTTCACGTAACTTTGTATCCCAATGAACAAAGTCATTGAAAATCAGCTTTCCGAGTTTGGTATTATTTCTATTTTCGGTGTGACAAAAAAGAAAAAAGAATCAATTCTGTTGGGAAAAAAACACTTTTCACAACACTATTTCCATCGTTTGTGGTTTTGATATACAATATACAATACAATCTCACACAATTTTGTTGATTGTGACCCATAATCAGATTGAGATAAATTTGATTTATTTCTTGAGGGTGTCACATCACCCTCAAAACATATAATAAATTCTAAGCCATTGTACAGCATACACTACTACAAAATCCTGTTGCATCTGTGTATGTAAAAAGTAATAGGCAACAACATCTGACACCGAACTTTTAGAGTTGTGATCTTGCATATATTATTTTTCAGATGCTTGTTGAGTAAAATCAATGGTGCCAACCTTAATTAGAGATGTACGAATAATACTTTTGTAGAAATATTGCCCGTTTTTGGCTTTTTCCAATCCCACTGGAGTCAGAAAAAATATATACTGCTTTTTAAAAAAACATAAGTAATGGTTTTAAATCCAACCTGAAATGAACATGTCGCCTAATTACCTTCATTTCTGAACACACATGTGTATAACCTGTATCAAATGATGTGTGTTTACCAAAAACATATCAAATTTTAAACTTACATGAAAGAGAGAGCCAGTGAAGCGTCAATTTCTCTAGTTTGACCACTTGACGAGTGATTGCTGCCTCGCTCAAAACAAGACAATGGAAGACATTAAATATGACATCACGCTGGTTTTTGTAACAGGTGAATACTTCTGCGGGTGAAAGCACTTTACACAACTTCACACTCCTCCTCCATCACAAAACAAATTGCTGACACCTCTAACTCTGACATTCCACCTGAATACAGACAAAATGAAGGGCCAAGAGGATACTTCAGACCCAGAAAAAGGCGTAGGCGTGACAGAAAGAAATAGGATTCAGCCCTCGAGTGACAGGTGCAACCGGGAATAAAAGAAAAACATTTATCTGTAAAGGGAAGAACGTGTTCTCACCACAATGGCTGCCGTAGTTATTTGAAGAAAATGAGCAA